CCTCGCCGTTGTTGTCGTAGATCTGGTCAACCAGTTCCGTGGCAAAGGTCAGTCGAATGGCATTCATACCGATCGACTTGAGATCAGCAACAACTTCCTGGATCGACTGGTACTGGAGGCCTTCGGGGACCATCACTTCACCATGACCAGGCCAGTTGGCACCGGCCAGAGTGACGGTGTTGCCAGCAGCGTTCTTGATCCATCGGCCTGAGGTAGTGAAGGGTCCGTTGGGCCAGGCAGCTAGCACAGGGGCTGAGCAAAGGCCGAAAAAGGCCAGAGGCCTTGAAAGTTGCATGATGTAGTCAAAGGGACTTGACAATTGGGATGGAGTTGGGAGGAACAAGAACGGCAGTTACATCGTGGAGATATTTCGCGCATTTATAGAACTTGTCTTCTTGACTTAATTCATGGACTTATACCGAATCCACCCCGAGATCGACGTCAACACGAGTGCCTGACCAGACTTGGCCTCAAAAGAGCAAGGGACCCAGTGGCCCGGTTAACCTGGAAGCCGCGTTTCCACACATCACAAGGTCAAGCAGAATGGTAGTTTTCGGCAAGTCTCTCGCTATACTATACAACGCTGACTATGCGTACCAATGAACAAGCTCGGAGGAGATACCCCGATGCACCCCGTAATGGAAATGTAGCGTGTTTATCAGATGGCACTCTGTCCACCCCCGCATTAACTTCCCCGCCTTTTGGGATGGAAACGGGAATGGAAGAAGCTTAAAGTTGACGCTATCGGCTCCGTCATCCCCGATGGCCCGGGGTGTTTGTGTTAGGGTCGTATTCAGTGAGGGGATTCACGAGGCCGGCTCCGATATCCCCGTTGGCAGTTAATCCAAGCATGATCAGTTTATGTGAATGGTTAAATCGAGGCACTCTTGTGCTGGTATTTTTTTTTGAGTGCTGGATGAGTGACGTAGCAGTCTGTGAGTCTGTGCCTTAGTGGAGGTCATTCTCTTTTCAAAGGTGGCTTTCTTCATCTCACTCACCTAAGCAAGCCCTCACTTCACACAGACCATGAACTGAAGAGCACAGAATAACCTCTCAAACTCACTCCATCATTTCAACTGTGGAATACAATCTTATCCTCTCAATCGAAAATACCGAAAGCTTACGTGAGTTGCAGGGATCAAGAATGCCTGCCGAGGTTCGGTTCTCAGAAGCGGGGGAGGCGGTGTGCACGTGGCCCCTCAACGATGACCGCGCGTTCAACTTGACAATGCTGTGAGAGTCCGTCAACATCAAATCACGCCACAAGTCGAATAACAACGATATATCATACTATAAATCATAATGGCCAATAATACTGACTCGAAATCGTCAACTGCGGCATTTACAGAACCCGATTCAGCCAGCTACTCGTCCTTCCAACGCGACATCTACCAAGCCTTTCGACCTCCTCCATTCTCAACCAAGCCCTCAGAATGGGAGGCATTGGCCCGGGCCAAGGTCCCTCCGGCTAATTTCGACTATGTTAATGGCTCTGCAGGCACATCCGCCACTGCCGATGCCAATGTTCAAGCTTTTTCTCGTTACCGCCTCCGACCGAGCTGCTTGGCCAATGCCACCAGACGAGATGTTGGCGTGGAACTTTTCGGAACAAGGTACAAGAGCCCGTTGCTAGTTGCTCCCATTGGCGTTCAGAACATCATGCATTCCCACGCCGAAGAGGCCACCGCCAGGGCTTGTCATAATATCGGAATCCCCATGATCCTATCTAGCGCTGCAACTCGAACGATAGAGCAGATCGCCGAGGCAAACGCAGACGGCGACCGCTGGTATCAACTCTACTGGCCTAAGCCGCAATGTGAAGAAATCACCGCTAGTCTTCTGAACCGGGCAAAGAGTGCAGGGTACAAGGTCCTCGTCGTCACTCTGGACACGTTCCTCCTGGGATGGAGACCCTCGGATCTCGATACGGCCTACCTGCCCTTTATCTGGGGTGATGGGTGCCAAATTGGACTCTCAGACCCGGCTTTCAACAAACTATTTGAGGAGATAAAGAAGAATGACCCACGGAGCGTTACCGAGAAACTGGTCGAGTTATTGACCATCATGACACGACCCAGGACATTCAAAGGTGCTGCAAAGGTACTTGGCAATGCCAACGTCTTGCAAAAGTCCAAAGCTTGGATCGACGTCATGAACTCTGGTACCTACCGCGAATGGGAAGATCTGAAAGTGCTGAAAAAACTCTGGGACGGACCGATTGTCCTCAAAGGGATCCAAACAGTCCAAGACGCACACAAGGCCATCGAGTATGGCATGGATGGCATCATCGTCTCCAATCATGGAGGTCGACAACTAGACGGAGCGATAGCGTCCCTGGATGCCCTCGCCGAGATTGCGGCAGACGAAAAAGTCACAGCCTCCAACTTGACACTTCTCTTCGACAGCGGCGTTCGCACTGGATCGGATGTGCTCAAGGCCCTGGCTCTTGGCGCAAAGGCTGTCTGCATCGGTCGTCCGTATGTTTATGGGCTAGCTGCTGGTGGACAAAAGGGCGTGGAGCATGTTCTCAAGTGTCTGTTGGCGGATATGGACAATAGCTTGGGAAATTGCGGCAAGAAAAGTATTCGTGATCTGAGTAGGGATGATCTTCAGATTCTGCCGTTGTCGAAGCTCTAGACTCATCGATGCCGTACGCACGCGCTGTAAGCTTTAATCGAGGAGGCTTAGGTGCCTTGACAGATAAGCCCATTTGTCTGGTCAGGCTTGCGGAAAAGACAATTATCTTCTATCGATGTAATATAGAAGAGGGCGCTTAGTACTTCAGCAGGAGGGAACAGCGGCAAAAACTCAGTATGTAAACTCAACCTAAATCCAAGATATCAACAAAGACAGGTTCCAGTCTCATGGATTGTCACTGACGATCAGACGCGATTGGCTGGTTGCCTCGGCTGTAAGGAATTGCCTCGAGAAGCCCACCCATTCACCCACCTGGCTTTTAGTGCTGCTAACAGTACCGAGTCTTTTCTTCACATGATAGAAATCATCGCGATAACCAGTGCAAATCGCCCATTGGGTGGTAAAGTTTCAACCAGGTAGAAGTTCCGCGATGAGATGATGTCATTTATCCAACTTCACTTCCCCATTGAAGGTTCAACCGCCGATGGGCTTCATTCAAACTCAACGCGATAAGCCTAATCATGCAAGATTCAATCAATGTTCATAGTGCCCAGGCTATTCTCAATTGTTGACACAGTCCGTGAAACTACATGTGGTGGACGGATAACTCGGCATGAATCTACAGGGATGCTTCACTAGGTGGACCTAGTTGATAACCACCACCACGTTTCAATACAACGCGTCGACAGCTTCTTAAAGCAGATTGGGTTCCTTTTCAATGTTTCAAACCTCATACAGCTATTAATTTGACACGGCTGTTCCATCAACCCTGATTGGCAGCTCAAATCCTTTGCCATGAATCAAAAGTCCCGCCCCTGTGTCGATCATGACCTGTCGTCGCGTTACCTCGTCCCCTCATTGGCTGCGGGTCCTTGAACCAAAAGTCCTGCTAATACGTTGCCATGATTGCACGTGGGGTTTGTGTAGAGTCCTTATCGGACGGCATTGGCTAGGATTCTTTGAAACACCTGCTGTTTTGGTGACTTTGCTCCGTCGGACTGGGAATACTAGATTTGGATCTTTTCCGCTTGCTAGACCGAGCGATTTACATTTGGTCCTGTATTGTTAAGGATGAGCTGGAGTATTTAGTTCGTGGGTGCCCAGGCTTGGCTTTTCCTCCCTCCTCAGCGAAAGCCTGCCCCTTTCAACTCAACCCGTCATTATGGCTTATACGCGACTTTTGATCCCTCTGGCTCTTATTTCGGGCGCTTCTGCTGCGTCGAGCAAATCTTGTCCTCTCGACCTTCCTCTTTCATGTCACAACACCACTGCCGTCGTTGATACATGCTGCTTTATCCCCGCTGGTCAGCTTCTTCAGACGCAATTTTGGGACGCCAGCCCGGCGGCAGGTCCATCTGGTAAGTCGCCTCGGTATTGAAAGGGTCCTATTTCTGACCGTGTACAGATTCCTGGACAATTCATGGTCTCTGGCCCGACTACTGTGATGGCACCTACCCGCAGTTCTGCAACACTGGCCGTGAATATCATGACATCAGAGGCATCGTGTCCCAGTTCCTCGGCAATTCTACCCTGTCCTACATGAAAAAGTACTGGGTCAGTGACAACGGTGACGATGAGTCTCTGTGGAAGCACGAGTGGGACAAGCACGGCACTTGCATCAGCACCCTGGAGCCAAGCTGCTACACTGGCTACAGCACTGGTGCCGAAGCAGCAGATTACGTCAAGAGGACTGTCTCACTGTTCAAGACGCTTCCCACGTACAAGTGGCTCTCCGAGGCTGGTATCGAGCCATCCGAATCCAAGACGTACACTATCAGCGAGATTCAAGACGCTCTTGAGGAACAACATGGTGCACAAGTGACTCTCGGCTGCAGCGGCAAGAACCTCAATGAGGTTTGGTATCACTTTAATGTGCAGGGATCGCTCCAGGAGGGTACTTTTGTTCCTTCGGCGCCTGATGGAAGCAAGAGCAGCTGCCCTGACTCTGGCATCAAGTACCTGCCCAAGAGCTCATAGGCTAGGCGAGGTATTGGGATTATCTTATTTCAGTGCGATATGCACTGCTGATGGATGTGTATCGTCGATCAAGGGGGAATGTACATAAATGCATTGACGAATAAACACAGTACATGAACCCATGATTTGGCAAGTTAGGATTTGTAATGCCAGCCAATAAGTACATCTACATTGCATTAGCCTTTCAGGTCTCGATAAACCTAGTATTCTAGTATATCGCACAATCCTGCATGCACATAGCAGCAAGGACTGGCTGCTTAGAAGAATCGAGACGAGATACATTCCCAATTTTTCTAGCACCAATGACGTCTACAAGAGAAACCACCAAGCGCAATATGCACATAATTCTAAGTAGTATATAGCTGATCTAGCTGCTCGCAGCAAATCTACACAACAGGGCTGGTCTCCTCGTCAATCTTGATACCAAACGCACCCGAAGCACCGGTATAACTCTCATTAACGGCCTCGCTCGCGTAAACCCTCATCTCCTTCTCATAAGCAGCCGTAACACCAGGTTTGTACCCTCCAGCCTCACGCAACAATCTTCCCAACAGCGCCGAGTCGCGCACAGCGGTGTTGGCACCGATACCTCCTGCAGGAGTCATGGAGTGGGCAGCATCTCCAATGACAGTCACACGAGGCTCGTTGGGCCACTCTGGAACGCCTGAGGGAGTGGAACAGGTGATCTTCCAGAACGCAGCTTCAGACTCGTTCATCTCGTCAAATAGTGGCTTGAAACGCGGGTGCCAGTCTTTGGACATGGACTTGGCAATTTCTGCAGCCTGCTTGCCCACAATGCTGTAGTCGTCGTTGGGAGCGCGGATCACACCTGGTTCTCCTCCCATGGTCCAGCCGAACTCGACATTTGGGTCGTCCATCTCACTTGGGCGAACGTTGGTGATGATGAAGACAGCACCGTCTGGACGCGTGGCGTCTCGCAGTCTGAATACGCCTTCGCCGAGTCCCTTGAATGCGGTGGTTGGTGCCTGACCGTGGATACCTCTGGCGCCGGTGTCGTAGACCTTGAGCTTGCCGCCCGAGACCTGCTTTGCAACTTTGGAGTAGATGCCTTCACCACCGATGAGCATTGAGCCCTCAATCGACTTGGTACCATCGGAGAAAATGGCCCGGACACCATCATCAGTCAACTCGTAGCCTGTGACATTCCTAGACCACTCGATGTGATCTTCACAACCTTCAGCAAAAATCTTGCGCATATCTCCTCGCGCAATGCCGACAACCTTTCCACCCCGCGACACAAGCTTCTCAGGCACAACATGCTCCGTCTGCTCTCCGGTCACGGCATCAAAAGCGGCGAAGCCACTACCTCCAGTCTTGCCGCACTTGTCCCAAAAGTGCTCCCACGTCTTGGCATCAAGGACTGACTCGATTGCGTCGAGACCCTCCGTAGAGAGACGGAGCCGATAACCTTGGGCGCGAAAGATGAACGACTCATCGCGCTCAAAGATTCGGAATGGAATTTTGGATAGGCGAAGAGATTGGGCGAGAAGAAGAGATGCGAGGCCGGAGCCTGAGATGAGGATTGGCTTTGCTACCGACATGATTGTTGTGGTAAAGTGTAACGATGGAGAAGCACAAACCGTGGTGAAGAGTGGTGAGGTTAAATAATAAGGATTTCGACCTGGAATGCTTGCATCAGCCAGTGACGCCTTACCGCGCGGCTTATATCAGCACAAAGATCTTGGAGTCTTGTTTTCCCCGCTCGAAAAGTTCCTATTATTAATACGCTCTAGCTACTTCAAGTTTGGGCTACAGCGCCATCGACTTAGCTTTGGCCTAGGGTAGCTTTTCGGCACGATAAAGCTTGAGATCTCGGGGCAACTATCGAGCCCTAGTATTATTTATCCCCTTATTCCTTTCCTAGTATTTCTTCTTAAATAAGTAGTTTTTTAATTAATTAATAACTTAATAATTATTTTATATTTTTATAAAAATATATTATCCTAAAATTATTAATAAAAAAAACTTTGTATTATTTAAAACTTAAAAGAGCTTAAGAATTCAAGTTTAATATTACCTAGCTACCTCTTAAGAAAGAGATTAGGCGCACCTAAAGCAGGCGGCATTAGTGCTATCTCCACAAGCCTTGTCAAATACAGCCTTTTCAGGGTAGGGACAGAGAATGCGGTTCTGCGTTGCGCCAGTCTGATCGGTGATTATATACGGCGTGCTCTCCGGGACCGTGCCGTTCTCAACCCAGGCACGCAGTTGTTCAAAGAGACTGGTGGGCTGTCCACCGCTACCACCGAAGCAGTGACCCAAGCCTGGCACCTCGTAATAGTGATAGAAATCCCAAACGTTCCCCGTGGTGGCATTCACGGCATTATAGTAGTGCTCGGTACCTTGAACTGGGATGATGTTGTCGGCCTGTACGCAATACCTATTAGTAACTTTGGAATGCCATGAATGCTAAAGGTAGAGGGAAAACTTACTATACCATGGAAGGAAACAAGCTTGCCTCCAGCATCGCGGAAACTCGACAGATCGGGATCGCTCGTCCCAATTATGGAATTGTAGGTGGATATGCTAAGATGAGCCAATCTGTCAAATTGTTGCCTGGTCAGGCTCGTGAAGTTCACTGCAGGATCCTTTGCCACGAATAGCTGGAGCCATTGGAGACCGAGCATGCTAGGCGCACCGACGCAAGACTCCGAGGTGCAGTTGGTTGCAGCAATTCCAGGCCGTCCGTTGGAGCTTGGGGACATTCCCGTCAGGTCAGCACCCGGAAGGACACCGAACCATGTGGATTTGCCATTCTTCGTGACCATTCCGTGCCAGGTGGCGTTGGCTACCAGAGCAGCAGCTTTCGTGATCTCGATACTACTGCCAGTCTGGTCACATTCTATAGTCGTGCCCACTAATGAAAATGGATCGAACTGGTTTATACACTCGACCGCCTCGCCAATGATACCGTCCTCAACCCCATCTAGACCATCGCAGGCAGAAATTGCAGCTGATGTGAGGGCGTCAAGCTCGCATGGGAATGGATATTGGTTCATCTCGTTCATGACCTGCTGTGGCCACTGGACGTACGAGGAGACCTCGCCCCAATTGATAGCCGGAGCACCGACTGCAATTCCGTCGTAAGCATCAGGGTAACGCTGTGCAAGCATAAGACCTTGCCTTCCGCCCTGGGAGCAACCATTCCAATACGAATAGTCTGGGAGTTTGCCGTAGAAGTTCTTGATGACAGATTTGGAGATAATAGCCTAGTTAGAGTAGGTATGATTAGCTGGAGGTTCACCTCCAAACCAACACAGCTCGGTGAGCTCGGATGTTTGACTTTACCTGGTCGTTCAAGGACACAGATGCCATGTTATTCAGGTTGTACAGATTTACGTTGCCAGGGCTAACCAAGGCCCATGGGGAAGCTTCCTGAGAGCCAAGGGGGTAGAGACCGGCGTCTGTGGTCGAGGTCGCATATCCGTCAGCCAGTGCGCCATACATATTTCCGTACGAGAGGAAAAAGCGGCCGGCAACAAATCCGCCACCACCGACTGCCTGGAAGCGGTTGTTCCAGTGGTCGACAGGAAGCCAAGTCTCAACCCCGATCTGATCATGCTGTCCAGGATGCGTGTACGAGAGGGTGACGTTACAAAACGTAGCGTTGACTAGCTGACGGGTAGGTTGGGTGTATCGATAGGCGGAAGGCGCTGTTGTGCTGAAGTTGGTTATAAGTTGGGCATTGACGTTGAGGATTTCTGCACCGGCCAGAGAGATGTTGGCGAAAGTTGATGGAACGCAGGCATTAGCCAGCGCGCCAGCAGGCATGATGATAGCTTGAAGCATGAAGAGACGATGGGCGTAGATAAGGGTTATATGTCTGGGTATTTGGGCTGTAAATCGGGTTCCCATGGGCGAGCAACTGGACCGGTGGGTAGCCTATCTAACCTCCCAGCGTGGTGAAGTTATCTTATATAGGGTTGTTTTGAGAATAGGAGACAGGCGGCCCCAGTATATAAACGATGTGGTAACATGACTCCACCCATGGTCAAAGTAACAGCCGATAACTAGAATAACTCAAGTTATGCGGAACTGTGGGGGTTTGATTGGCTACTCGTGTGTTATAAAGAGGACGACGCAGAGAGTAAAGCATAATCTCGACCAGGGTCCAGACTGCCTACCCATCGGCGCTCTAAGTCTAGTCGATACGTTACGCGTAAAGTGACGCTTCTGACTGGATATGTTATCTTTGGCGGGCAACATCACACCCCACGTCCAGGACATTTTTCTTCCTGTCGAAGCCTCAGACAAACCTATCCACTCTTCTTGACTGTATGGGACCTCGTAAATGGTCTTATCCACTTAATTCCACGTCACCCTGCAAATGAGAAAAACATCCACCGAGAGGAATCTGTTAAATATGCCGGAATATCAGTAATTTATGAGGTGGACGCATCCCTTTGATGATTTTCTTATCAAGGGCCGGGCTGCAATTATAATAAAGAATACATTGCCAACACATCATATCATCATGACTTTGATGATTCTCATAATGCCGTTTCGGCCATTTTGTGCATGATTGCTTTAACAAGGCATCCCAGCGGCCTCGAGTAATTCGACCTCTGTTTTCCCCGCTGCCTCTTCCTTCAGCTTCGAATACTGGGGACAAATCAACGAACGTTCAAATTCAACATCAAGTCTAGTTGTCATTGTTGATCATCTGTGTGGGCCACTGCAACCATGTTCCCCATCCTTGGCCCAACTCGGACGCGATGCTATTCAGCAGATAGCAACCTACTTGCGAGAAGATCCAATGCCTCCTACACCAATGAAGCACAACCGCGAAATGCGCCAGCACAAGCAAGGCTTCGGGATTCCGCTTATATAGCAGTCCTTCAAACTCCGCGTCCATAATCTGGGGCCAAGAGAAAGCCGTCAGGAAACATTCAGGTAGGGTCGCTTCAAGACTGGTGTCCTCGTAAACACTAAATACCCATTGAAGCCTAGCGAGCGCATCTAGGCTGCTTTCCCTTTCGCTGTCATTCAAGCCTAGACTGTCCTGGATCAACAATCTGAGCGACGAAGTGCAACCACCGCCGCGGCGCCTGTTTGCCAAGGCTGCTCCGCCGTGAAACATGCCACGGTATTCACTCTCGAGCAAACTCTCCCAGGCATCCATTGTGGCAGCTCGTACTCCCCGGTGTAGTTGGAGGTAGTAAAAGAACCGTTCCAGCGTGCCTTGTTGCTGGCCGAGTGGCGCTACGTCGCATAAAAGATGTATCCCGAGCATCCAACTGAAGAAGATGATGCGTAGATGCTCCTCTTGCATCGTGTGGACTTGCTTTCGGTTGAAGCAAGCCAACGCGTGTGTTTGAAACTGTCTTGCTTGGTTTAGGTAGAAAACGCTCCGATCTGGCCTCAATGTCGCAAGATATCTCGCAGAAAAGGCCAGAATCTCGTTCATGAGGTACTCACAGTCGAGCGCTTCCTCAATAATTTTCAGTGGAGTCACATCATGCGTTCCCATCGGGGCCACAGGAAACTGCAGTGACCCGTGGGTAAAGTGATGCAACAGTTCCAGCTGAGCAAGGTTGGCCGGGGGGGTTTCGATACCGTCTGCCTCAGATATTTCGCCGCATTGGGGTTGGGGTGAAGATTGCGACGCCTCTAGATTCGATGCCGCAGAAAGAGAGTTACAAGACTGTGCCGGCGATGATGATGATGACTCGATGCGTGCGGTTGTGGTGCTTATGCCCAGACTAGCGTCGATGCCAGCAGTCGAAAGGAACGAGCAATCTCTTCCAGTGATGGAGCAGTTGCCGCAAATGGGCTTTGTCTCGTCGCACTAGACATGTTAGAAGTGCTCAAGTTTGGTGAAATAATCCTTGGCAAGAAGCGTACTTTGATGTGCCGTCTCTTGCATGTGGCACATCCATATCGAGATTTCCGATGGCCACGCCGCGTGGACATGGAGTGATCCCTTGTCCTGCAACAAAGGGAAGCAGAAGGCAGAGAGACACGCCTATGGGGAATACGAAGCGCCGTGTTGATTTTAAGGCAAAAAGTCGAACCCGAGGACAGAAGAGGCTGCTAGTGGATAAGGGGGAATACGGGGTGCTAGGGCCAACGTCACCGTCGGGTCAAGTTTAAAGCTAAGATAGGTAACCTGGAGCGAGCCAATCAAAGGCTACTAAGTCCGCGTATTGCAAAAGTGAGGATCGTTCCAATGCATGGCGGCCAATCACAGAGCAACAAGTCCACGGATGCCTCTCGAGGGCCCATGAACAGTGGCGAGTACTTGGTGGGGACTCAAAATCACCCAACCGTTGATTCGGAAAGGAAAGATACCTCTGATTACATATAAATTAGTTATGTAGGTGATGTATACGATCTGGTGCTCACCCTAACCCGATCTGGAATTAGTAAATAATGAGGATACTTGTGACGGCTCTCTAAAAAATTGGGATGCTTTCTAAATCAACGACCCTTTTTCGGACACAGATGCGGCTCTGTAAAGGAATGAGTTTGACTGAGAGTAGGATACAACTGGTAAAAAAAAAAAAAAAAAGTGTTGACCTTTATTTCTTGTGCCTTATTCACCACCTCTTGTTTCCGTCAGTCTTCTTGCACTTCCAGCTTCTCACCAAGACAGACATATCTACGATGCCTAAGCTCGAGCCATACAGGGGGGGTACTTTCTCTGGCACTACGTTCCCAAGCGACAGCTGTTATTATTTTCATAGTTATTTTTCTTATTCCGAAAATAGCAGTAGTATGGCGCATATTGACGACAAAAATATTTGGCCGAGCTACATTTGTTTCACTGGTGCTTTTATATTATTCCCATCTTCTCTCGGTTGGACAATCTCGCTGGCTGCCGTCAACTGAAGATGTCCATGATTTTCGCTCAACCTTGCCTATCCCCTTCCAGTTTCCTAGACTTGTCTTGTCAACCTAACCCGTGGTGTAGCCGTCCCAATGTCTATGGTCTAAGTATCGTCATTCTTGTCTATCAAGATGTTCTCTGCCTTCGCGTCACCCCACATGATGCCGTGGTCGTGCAACCTGTCCAGTGACCAACTAATCTGCGACGCCCAGCATTATTTCAGCTCAGCAGAGCTCGTCGCCGCCTTAGGTTTTAACAGCACGCACCTTTTGTCAATCCAAATGAACAGATTTCCCGATAGACCATTGTCACCCCAAACAACGCCTTGCAGGCGACAGATGTATATCTCCGGCGGAGGGGTTATCTCGGCCAGAACGATTTGCTTTAACAGCAAGTTCTTGCTTTACGGGCGCCTGGCCGAATGCGGGCTGGAACACGAGGTAGGACATCTTGTAGAAGCAGTCGACAGGCTGTCCATCGTGGCCGTTGACAATGGCGCACCAGGGCGATCTGACAAAGGTATGCTTGGGGCTATCGTAGCGTAGTTGTACGATGGAGCATAGCTCCAGGTCCACCGGTCAGGTTCGGTTGGAGGGTTGTTGTCTACTTTGATGAAAGGACTGCCCCAGCGAATAATTTTCGGTTTCAGGCTGTCTGGGTTGCAGTTTATTATCCATAGGAACGAGGACTCAGGTATAAGTCTGTTAGGGAATAGGTAGTGAGCCAAAGTTGGTCGATCAGCAATGGGGAGTTGAAAAGCAACTGGGTTTTGGTGGGCATAATGAGGTTTGTTTTTCTCCTAAGTCTGACTGTCGCCCAGGGCACCAGATAAGCTGGTCGTGGCGGTGCCAATATGTGTCGTCACCACCATCGATTTCTGGTTCGCCGGAACTTAACAATTCAAGCCGCTATAAATACTGCTGCGTGACGGTATGGGATCGAAGCAATCGAGTAGGGCAGATGTGGCAATAAAAGACATAGCCACAGGCTGATCAAATAATTAAGGCAATCTTGGTTGGTCATATGCATGCTCAAACGATCAATGTCGTTGCGCACCCTCTTTCATGGTTCTAATAGTTCTGCGTAGCAAAATTGAGGCCGAAGAACTGAAAGGCGAAAGTCACTGAGATATGACTTGGGACGAACAACGCTCGAAAGTGAAGGTATTGTATTATTACTAAACGCTGGATCCCTGTTAGTCAAGCCCGATGAATTACAGTCTACATAGGAAAGGGCCTGAAATGAAGAGAAAAATGGCCAAGCCTAAACAAACCTCACACTCCCAACACACAATCTGCTCTATGTATAGAACACATACACACACACACACACCAAAAAGAAAAAATCGCAACCTGGCCACCCGACTTAAACTCTGTTAGAAATATCCCACCTGTCTACTTTCGCTCCACATCATCTAAGGTGATAGTCGACTCGCCAGTCGTCCTCTGCCAGTCGTGGTCGGCGTTGGGCTGCTGGACGACCGACGGGAACCAGTACCAGAAGATAACCATGACGACAAACATAAGCGCCGAGTCAAACACATATAGCGGCCACTCAGTGCTCAGCAGGTATCCGTCGTGACCCATGATGAACTCGATCATACGAAAGATAGACCGCACCATGATCAAGGCGCTCGAGGCGTAGAGCATGTACAGGAGTTGCTCCCACTTCAGCTCAGCAGGGATCCGCTCAACGACCGGGTCCCGGCGCATCCTGTTGTGGAAGAGGACGGCCGTGGTGAAGAAGGCACCAAAGACGACGATGTGGAAGCCTAGCCCGCCGATGACAATACCCTGACCGACCTTTGCTAGATCACTTATAACCATTATGCCCGCGGCGCCACTCTGGATGGACATGGCGAGTATGTCGCCGGTGACGAATATCCTCGTCATCCAAAGCGGCCTGAAGAGGGAATGCTTCTCCCCGCCGACACTACGAATCACCCGGGACAGCGTCATGTATATCGAAGCCGCAAAGAGGACGGGGGAGAGGAGGATGAAGGAGTTCTGGATGGCGTAGGGCATGAGCTTGGCCGTGTTGTTGTGCGATACGATTCGAGCAGTGTAGCCAATAACCTGGACTGTTGTTCTCGTTAGGAAGCGGAAGCCGGCAGCTGGATGCAGTACAGTGGGTTCTTACAAAGGCCTCCGACGGCGAAGACGGTGCAGAACCATGTTCGGTTTCTCCAGATACGCCACGAGATGGCAACGGTCGCGACGAGGAAGAGAACTAAGAAGACGACGGCTGCTGGAACAGAGGGGAGGTACTTCCAGAGGTAGTAGTCTCCGATGTAGGGCTCGAGCTTGGCCATTTCGGTGGGAGTTGTCGTCTGCCGAGATTCGGAGTTTTGGTTGGAAGGAACGTGAAAATGTTATCTGAGATACGGCGTGATGATTCGATTCGCCGATTTACTCTCTTCAAACAGGACGAAGAGGATTCTTTTATAGAAAAGACGAGAAAGAATGACTGAATCTCCTAGTCCTGGTAACACATTTCGTCTGGATTGTGCCGTCTCGTACTGGCAAGAAGGCGATTGGCTGGCGCATCTAATGGAGCAGCTTGGCATTATCAGCCAACCGTAAGCGTCTCTGTACGAGGAATCAGAGATTTGCGAACAAGGTTAATAATTTGCCAAGTCCACCTGAGGTTCCCTACAGACGCGAGTCGTGTACCCTGAACGAGATCATAGCGGAGAAAGGACTTCAGCAAAGAGACGAGTACATCGTGAATGTTTTTGAAAATTCATATAAATACATGAAATAAATCGCTAATATTCCAAGCTTTGCAAATTGGGTATCTAAACCAATAATGCCAATGCGTATACCCCATACTGGGCAGTCTCACACAAGACCTCCTATGTCATATCTCATCTCATCTCGCCAACTCAGACATTAGCTCCTCCGTCTCTGTTCTCCCGTGTTCTATCACTATGCCCCGTTTCGTCTTGTCCCCCTTCACTTTGTCTACTCCCCGTCCTGCTCCCCGTCCTACTCCCCAGTCGTCGTTGCTCAGTATCGCCTAGCAGCTCATATTCAGGTTCATTCGTCGGCAGCTCGTGAGGCCCCTGGTCGATGGGTAGTTCTGCTGGCTTATCGCTGTTGACTGCACGATATCCTTCTTGGTGCATCTGGTCTGGACTCATGGGGTCTTGTTGTGTGACGGTGTTTGATCTTCTTCTCCGGCGGATGACCATGAAGATGGCACCTGCTGCAGCCAAGGCGCCAAGACTTACGCCAACACCAATACCCGCCTTGGCTCCGGTAGATAGACCACTTGATGATTCGGATGTTTCGCCGTCGTTGTTGTGGTTCGAGTTTGATGATCCAGTTGAACCCTCCTCTTCCTCCTCATTATCGTCCTCGTCGTCGTCGTCGGACGTTGGCGCATTCTCATTCACGGATGAGACCTTCTTCGCATCCGCCCATGTTCCATACTCGTCCAAGTGTAGTTCCATAACATCTTTTCCATTTCGATAAAAGATCCAGAGCTCTTCAGATTCCGGCGCGGCAACTAGTGCTAGTCGAGCCGACTTGTCGCCAGCCTTGGGCCACTTCTTCTCCCCAGGATCCTTGGCAAGTTCCCATCCATCTTTCCCGTTAGTGACCTGATGAAGCTTTGAGTCTGTACCGACGTAGAATATATTTGTCAAAGATTCTTCGTTGGATGCTAGGGTGACGCTGACTGTCGTCATGTCGATTTCAGGGAGAATGAATGGTACGTCCTTGGACCAGTCAAAGGCATATTTTGATGTTGCGGTTTTGTTGGTCGGCGTTGGGCTCTTGAAGCCTAGTGGGAGGGAACCTGTGTTTCTCGAGTCAGTGTCCGTAATCGTATGCCTCCTCCTTGATGCTTCTTTGCGCCGAGGCCGAGGGAGGTCAACATACTCAGACTCCACTTGTCCTTGTTCTCCTCCTTGTATCCAGCAATGGCAAAGTTGTCCGTATCGTACGGAAAGATCACCGACATGTTGGTCCCACTCATCCTCGCTGCCCCCAATGTCTTGCCCTCTGGTTCGAGTTGGGAAACAGGTCCAATGTAAACCCAGTCGGTATCGTCGTCGTATGCTAGGACATTGACCCTTCCATCCTCGTCGTGGTAAAAGACCCGGTTCCCGCCGGAATCGCCAAGCTCCACCACAGCTAGCCCTGTATCCTCGTGTATAGACGGTGCGCTGGCGTCTTCGCTGACCTTGTACTCTCCACCCTCTTGCAGTTCGTAGTCGCCCGTCTTCCAGTTGCATGTTACGTCGGCGTTGACTAAAGAACCGTCACGGGCTTGGAAGAAAACTGAAGCCTAGCGCATTGCTTCGCATTAATATTTGGTCCAGAGAGTCGGGGCATAGGAAGCAAGTTACTCACGACTGTCGTCCTCAACTCATCATCGTACCATCCTACCACTGCGAGTGCTGTTGCTGGCTTCGGTTTGGCCTTGATAGGAAACTTGTGCATCTCATCTGTCGGAAATACGGCCGAGCCATTGCTATTGCAAGCGGTGTGTACTAGATCGCCAGACCCGGGATCTTGGAATGCAAAGTGAGGCGTGAGAGAATACTCCGACCAAGTCCACCAACCAGTCATTCCCATGGTCGGATTTGCGAGTAATAGTAACGACCCCAAGGTCGAGGCGACGATTGACCGAGGCATGTTTGGCGGATGATCTGATTCGAAGGAGGGTCACGTCGAGGAGCAAAACCCGAGGCCACGGCTTGCTCAGCTTGATGGGATTTCCATCCGGGCAGCGGGCAGCGCGTGGGGAAGATCGAAAAACGTTGGCAAACGGCGCGTAAAAAGAGGATCTAGTCCAAAGTACGGATATGTTGTTAAGGTTAAAGGTTGAAAGGACCCAAGAATCAGGGAAAGCAAACGGACTCCGAAGGACAGGGTCCAATTTCGCCCTTCTGGGCAGAGCGATGCACAAAAAGCGTAGCATCCTGCGCCTACAGACAGGGCTTTTGATTTGCAGGGGTTGAAAGGCACGGCAGGCTGACTAGAGGCAAGGATTAATCCGCTAGTGCTGACTTTTTGGCTGCTTATGGCATGAGTTTGAAACGTAGACGAGCTTTGCCGCTGCAGGCTGTGGAAGTGCAAGACTTGATGTGTCGGGCTATTGTGACAGGCACGGGTTTTGGTCTTTGCCAAGGTTCCAAGACTCTTGGAACCAAGAGATCGGGGATCGCCAAGTCTCTATCAAGCTTGTGTTCTTGGTATTTCGACGTCCTGGCCTTTCATCCTGTCTCTCTGAGCTTCAAGACGTGGCTCCATCTCGGGTGACGGCAGCAGGGTTCAGGGGGTTTCACTGGCACAAGACATTCAGCCCCATGCAATTCAGCCCCCAAGCCCCTTTACCCATCTCCATCATCCATTGGTGGACAACGACGAATAATATGCCCTATTGAGGAGGCGCTCACAATAACATGAGACCCTGGCCCCATCAATCAAGCCGATCCTCCGGCTCTGCTCTTGCCAAAGGTCCTCGCTTCCGACATCCGTAATTGTTAGGACGGATACGGTACCCGTGATTTTTGCGAGCCTTACGCCTTATGACTGCATGTCAGATCCTGACCGTGCGTAGTACTTCCCCAAGGTGTCAGTCAGCAATTCAAGGTGTCGTGTTTCAAATGACGTTAAAGGGACATATTTTACGAGTTGGATCTATTGGCTGATATAAATAAGATTTAGTTGCACTTTGCTTTTATGCTTGTTTAGACTTATGGAGTTTTATCAGGCAAGTTTGCAACAATCATATCACAGGCAAGCTGCCTGCGAGGACAATGAGAGGCGCAGTGGTTGTTCATGATTTACAAAATGACCTGGCTTATCTTTATCAATACGGAGATAGTAGTGAGGGTCTTTCATGGTTCTTGATTTAGGCTATGTAATATCCAGGTAGGTAATGACAGGCCGGGTCCATCCATCCTGCGGGCAGCGGGTACCAACTCCAACCGAGAGCATTGCAATATTACGGGAACGAATAGGCAAGAAACAATAGAAGGCTCCAAGGCACGTAGCCTAAATCAATACTCCTCATCATCAAACAACTCGCCGAATGGAAGCTCCATCAGGGCCACTTCCAGCTCCTGCTTTGCTACACTTCCCCTTCGTTCCTTCGCGCGTGCCAACTCGAGCTCAGCGTTCAAACTCTCCTCTTCAAGCAGCTCATGGTGCATTTCTTCTTCCCCACAAAGAGTTAGTTGATTACCTTTTGGTTCATGCTGTGAGTCAACGAAGACCCCTCCTTGAGAAACCGACGAAATTCAAGCAACGTGGACGTGGCGAGTTGGATCGACGAACTTAGCACTCAGAAATGCAGTCGAAACAAAATTGATGGCTGGCTGCGGCCATAGAAGTGTCTCTCCCATGGTGCAAGAGCCTGGCGGTGATAGAAATTCGATTGTGCGGCTATTTGGGTGGTCCCTTGTTATGGGACTGAAGTTCCATCGGTAGGATTTCTGAGGGAAGATGAGAATTTCTAGTTTCCCGTGATCCCTTTGCGCGTCATTGGAGCAATTTCTGTGAAGCAGATAGGGGCCTCAAGTCATATTTCCATCAGCCGGGTAGAACGATCTTCGGGCTCAGTTAACCCATCAAGGGCCGGGCTGCAAGTATAATAAAGAACAGATCTTAAACACATTATAACATCATAACCCGATGTTACCCGGGTAGAACTAAGTAGTAACATGTCTCTACCACCTTCAGGGCTGGCCACAGCACGAGAGACAGAGTTATATTGGGTTCGACAACCGAGTTTTTATACCCCTCTCTCAATACCTTATCTCTTTGTGTTGGTTTCTTTTGATCTACCAAGCCTCTGTTATCCACTCTAGTGACTGGATGAATCACGAATACCACGAGCAGCTGAGCTCGGCCTGCATGTAGTAGTAGCCTGATCAAGTGGAACGCCATCACTTGGCACGGGTGTTGGTCCTTTCATGCGGAGTTCTACTAGCCAGGAACGAACGAGGGGCAAGTCACGGCCTTGGCTACTTAGAGCTGAACCCGCTTCTTGGCATTGATGGAGCAGGAGAAGTTGAAAGAGGTAGAGTGCAATGGTTTAAAAGGGGAACGGTTTAAAAGGGGAACATTTCTCTGCTCGTATCAGAGGCATGCTTCCCCTCCAACCTGTTTCTACACCCCGCCTACCCGGGTGGGTATAGGTATGGTCAACGCTCATTATCACAGGTCTTCGAAGGATAGTTTAAGCCAGTGATGTGTGAAAATTGAATTAATTTTGTGAGTTCGAAAGGCCGTCAAATGCATGTAAATCGTTACGGCTACATGCTCCCTACCGACATTCTACCCTCCAATGTCCGCTATCTGACCTCTGATCAATGATGTGCGGGCAGTTCAGCTGGGTTTTGGTTATTTGGCAGCTCATAGACTGGCGTCGGTGATGATGTTTCTGGCTTATAACCATCAGGTGACTGAGGGTACGGCGGAGCTTGGGCGGACGCGGGAGCTGCCTCAGCCTGCCGTTTTCTCCGTCTCCAGAGGAAGAACGCTACAAGCGCAATCGCAAGAACACCAAGCACTGCTCCAACGACGATACCCGCGATGGCACCGCCTGAAAGGCTACTGTTATCAGAGCCGCCAGAATCCGTGCCGGGTTGACCTGTTTGGTTGCCGGACTCGCCTGTTGTCGTCGCTGAATCGGCAGTTGACTCGGGAGCCTGGTAATGGTTAGAGATCGATAGCTACAGGGGAAGTTTGACTTACGTTCGAAAAGACGGTACTGTACGCTGCGTCGTCCACGTTGCTCACGCTCGTCATGAGCCACCGTTGCCGCCTTTGGTATCCATCAAGGTTTGGGCTCATGTACACCGGACCACTTGGGATGACGTCGAGGTGATATTTGCTGCCGTTGTGTACGTTGATGAAGCGGTACGTGTCATTCTTTCCCCATAGTGCTACATCCCATTGTTGTCCATCGCTTCCATCGCTGTTTCGTAGGCAAGCGCGTGTTCGCCTATTCTCGACCGACTCGCTTGGGCGGTAGCAGACGGCAAACTGCTTTTGTGTCGTGGTTTCGGAACATCGAAGGGCGTATCGGCCAGGTATCTTGCCTATCGGTTGCTGGGCGCACTGGGTAAGCAAAGGTAGTCGAGCATCGCGATGGGCGATGAACTCACAAATTGCCAGTATGTCTTCCTCTTGGCCACAGGAAACACCCTGAAATCCCCGTCCTGCCACGTCTGTAGCATCGAATTGAAGTCCCCATCGTAATCGTCCACATTCTCCTCTGTCATATGATACCAGACATTGGGATCGATGTCGGTCGCAGGTTCGAGCTTCGCCATGTTTGCGAGAATGAAGTGGGCAAAAAGGAAAGATGGAACAAAACAAGGTGGAGCAAGAAGACAACAAGGCAACGGGTGGTAAATGGGATAACTTAACTAAGACGTCAGAGGTAATCATCCTGTCAGACGCTAGGAGCATCGGTTGCTTAGTGGCGGCGAAGATCGACGGCGGTCGCACCATTCACGGCGCGGAGGATTGGCCTTTGGTAACTAGGCAGGGGGCAAGATGGGCTCAGCGTTGCAGGTCATTGATCTGGCCTCTCTCATTTGTTGGAGCGTTGGATTAATGTGAGGGCCCTTTTCACATGTGGCACTCATTGGCTCATCGGCACGGCTCGAATGTGGTGATGGTGGAGGATGCCGCTAGTGAGAAGACGATCCTCACTCGAAGTTGACCTGACTGGCTGAGCTATTATTAGGCAAGGCTTTTTTGCATCGCTGCAGCGAAAGATGATAAACTCCAAGGCTGTTTAAATGGAAGAGATCATCAAAATATCTTCTCTTAGGTCGGAACTCACGATGAATGTCGTTGGGGTCTAGTGTGGAACAGGTATGTGGGAGAAGTCGGGTTATGGCGGAACCATGGGCATTGCCATTGGCAAACTTGATAGTTGGATATGGAAGACTGGTGTTTTCTAAATAGGTAGAGTTGAGGACCTTAAGAATATAGAAGACTTATAATGTGCACACACACTTTGAGACTGGTCTGCCTCTTCAATTCTCAGAGGCTTTCTCGACAGCCTGTCTCAACTCTTCGTCCAACAGACCCGAATCGACGTAATTCATATCAAACCACTCGACACCGTCCCTCATGTTCTGCATGACTCCTGGCACTTCATCCGTATATCCGTAACGGTAAAACTTGATTTTGTCCTCCGGTCTTTCCAGCAGTGAAGACTCAGCAATGTCGCCGGTGTTGTCCTTGCTGACCTCTGGATCCCACCGAACTTCCAGGAACCCACCTTCATCAGGCTCATCCCACTCAGCTTCTGGCCTATCAATGACCAATAGGGAGCGCCGGCCTGACCCAGGAAACCCGCAATCCATCTGGGGGATGTAAAAGTCGCCGTTTCCTGACGCATTTCTCGCAGCAATTTCCTTGGCGTTGTGTGCTCTGCACCGTTCTGCGCGCTCAGCTGGCGAAGTGCCGTCCGGCATGGCTAGGCCATAGAGGTCGATTCTATCAAGCGTCTCACGGCCCATGGCGCTCCGTTCGTCCCATGTGTCCTCGTATATCTTGAGTGCCAGCTTCTTGATTTGCTTCATACTCTTTCCGCTATTAGATCGTGTGTCGTATATTTGGATTCCCCATTTGGGTCGTTTGACGGGCTCTGGGTTAACCCAGTCTTCACGGGCTTCCCAGGCTGAGCAACAGAGTGTGCCGTCGTGGGAAGGGGCCTCTTCAGTGACCATCCAACATCTGATCTTGACAGGAGGCTTACCTCCGGTCGATGCAGGCCGTGATGGAGGTGATGGTGGAGGGTCACCCATAGCTACTAATAAATAATTATTGCCGAATCGAGTTCTGCGTGAATGCCACTTTCAGGATTGGAAATCGAAGATACTTGCAGGGTTGAAGGATGAATAAAACCTGACAGGGCGTCTCTGCTTGAGACAAATATATAGGGCAGCTAAAATACACTGTAACGGCCTCCTTTGTACACCGCTGAAGGGTCTCGGTGGCAGTGCTTGCATGATTCGTATTTGGTTCGAATGGCTGGGCTATGCTGCCTAGAGTAGAATTCTCCTCAAGGCGCCGAGAACCAATCAACATTGAGAATTGAACCATCCTTCCGTTTCAATTTTCCATTGTGAGGATGCAAGCCGCGAGGGGCCTGTCTTGTTCGGTGTCTCTAGGTGTCGCTTTGTAGCCTAAATGGAGATCCCGCTGCAACATTGCAACATTTTAAGCGACTCGCATCTTGCTCCAGGAAGCATGGGAATCATGTAATCAAACTCCAGCTCAATCCTAGCCAACCAACTCCAAGTCATGAATAAAACTTATACTGTCTTCTTCCCTGCTTGCGCTATCCATCGAGGTCGCTAACTGTGTAAAGAACTCAGATTCCAACTCGAGAAAGTTAGACATTTGGTGAAATAGAGGCTCCTTTTGGAAATCCAAGAGCATGGCGTCCTCGCCGTGATCTGATATGTCATTGGTAAATAAAGGCATGTGTACCGCATAACCTCCGCTGTCCTCAGCTGGGGCTTGGTCGCTAGGGGAAGGCCAGGCATAGTTGCTTGTGGTTTGATCTTGGGCGGGTCTTTGCCTGAGTAAAGGCTCCTGGTCTTCCACGTTGGGTGATTCAGAATCACTCCTTGGCGTCAAATTCTCCCGTCTCAAAGATATTTTTGACTTGTCGACGGCGGCTTTGAGATTGCCCAGGACTGCCTCGCTGGCAGAATATCTTTCACCCAGGCGCTCAAGGAAGCGCATACAGGTGCGCAGTCCGACCGCGCTCTGACCGTGTAAACGCCGCGTGGGTGACTTGAGGTTCAACAAGAGAATGGAGGCGGCTGGAAGGACACATGTGATTCTGGCCAAAAAGTGAGTATAAGATCACATGTATTCCAAAGAGCCACCATTACTTACCCCTGAGTTGACATGTAACTTATCAACCCTTTCTTTAAAACAACATCGGCCAACACCGAGACTTTGTATACGGCTGTTTGGACCTTTTTGTAGCTCCTCTGAGTCTTGGGCCCTCTGACACTACCTGGCCCAGGAGACACCAGGCTCTGGGAAATCTCGGGAAGATGGAGGGTTGAAATCACCGTGTAGTAAGTCATGATCATCAAAAGCCGACCAGCAGTGATACCCCTGGAGACGTCATATTCCAGCTCCCGTGAACATGGGGTTGCAGAATCGCTGCAGTAAGCCCTATGCCAAGCGTCTAACCGAAGATCAAGCATCTCCGTACGGTTCCTGGGGGGCGGTTGGTGAGGGTATTCGTCTTCTGTCATGGTCTGGTTGATGCAGATGCATAGCTCGGCCATTCGTATGGAAAGTGTTGCACGGTCCAGAGCGCTGCGAGTTAAATAGTCGCCCTTGGCCTTGCGCAGTGGAAAGTCGTCCGGAGTCAACATTGGGATCGGGGATCGCATTCGTGGCTGGAGCCTCAAGCCCATTGAGACGAGGGCGTCTCGGATGTATGCGCTCCACCAAAGCCTCTTGTAAAATCCTTGACTCGGGTGCGTGGCAAGAGCCTTTTCTTGGACGCCGAATTGCTGGGCGTGATGCACATGAGCCCCTATCCAATACGCGGCCGCCTTGCAGTCATCTGGGTCCTCGTACCAGAATGACATGAGTAATAAAGCATGGAGAACCTCGATAGAGGAGGTGTCGACATCGAAATCATAGAGCAGTCGGGCCCTCCGATAGAATGACCTGCGAGCTTCGCGTTGTGATGGAAGGTCTAGGCACTGAAGTACATCGCTGTCCACGAACTAGCCTTTATTGTTAGCTTTATTCGTGATGAAGGACTGGTTGAGAATTACCGCGCTACCGGCGAATAAAATGGCTTGGAATAACAAGATACCTATCGTCTTCTGGCACGGCTTGTCTGGGGCGTGATCAACAGACACGTCGATATATCCCAGAAGTTCGGATCTATCAAGTGAGGGCATGTATGGGGTCACAAACTCGAAGCAAGCGTCTACCAGAGCCTGGCGCAACTTTCCTTCTGGAAGCCAGAAGGCTCCCTCAGCAGCGAGATAGTTGAGAGCAGGCTGCGAAGTATCTGGGCTGATTGGTTTGATGAATGGAGGAAGCTTCCAGGGCATGGGTTCAAGATCTGGGACCATGGCCAATGACCCGAGGTTTGGTGTGTCGTTAGTCAGATCTTCCATCATGTCTGGACTCATGCCTGGTATCCTGGTCAGTTCATTTTCTTGACAGGAGGGAGAAACAAGGCAACTCAGACGAACCGCTATCTTCTTGGCTACTGACGACTTGTGGTTGAGGAGGGGCTGGAGGTTCCGAATCTCCGTTTGTGGATGTCATGAGAGGGGCTATATCAGAGACAAGGTTGTCATCCGCTGGGGAGTGCACAATATGGCCTGGCGAGGCACTGGGCTCTTGGATGCTCAACATGTCGACCGTGTTTGTGCCGACGCTGCTAGACATGGCGGGGGGCACCACGGTGCTTCTGTGTTATGGTTTAGACACGACATACAAGGAGGCTGGGCTCGATTCACCTGCGTCTGCGGGTGTTTGCAACCTTGCAGTGGACATCGTCAAGCTCGCAGTTGGTGCACCGGGAGCCTCGCTTGTTGAGATCACAGCGGACCTTGCGACCGCGACAGTACTGGCATGCTATCGGCGCTCTCAGTCGGGCGCGCCGGGGGGCTGCTGGGCTGAGAGGAAATGTCGCCGGGGCCATGATTCGGAACGTGGTTTGAGCCATTATGGGGTCGTGATTCATGCAGCTCCCTGGACGAAACACTATAGGTAATTGAATTGCTGTTTAAGGGAGCCCTTCTTGTGATACTGACAATAAGGGAGGATATCATGTGCCGTGACTGACATCGGTTATACACAGCCGTCCGATACCCGGGTGGGGCTCCGGATTCCTGGGGTATTTGCGGGGTATTCGCGGGGTAATCACCCTTCACGCCGCCTCCCTACCGATCTCTTACCGAACAGCCGGGCCATCAAGTGTGCAATACCTACAGTGTGATCTGCTAATTGGTCTTGAGCTAAGTACCTGTGGTAGGTATTTATGCGCTGACTATGTACCTCTGTCACGTGTATCCTGCTGCCGCCTTCTCCTCCTAAATCTTCATCACAGATGTGCTGCGTGGGCGACATCCGCCGGAATGTCGATGTATACCAGCGAGAGAAGCAGCTGGGCATAGCTTTTCGCCTGTCTAGATTCACAAAAGTGGTCAGCCGCAGAAATGATGAATACCTCAACACGTACCTGTCCAGTCTCAGACTCGAAAGCCCTCCGCCTCCAAGAGCCTTTGTGATGACAAAGTTGACTGCATGCACGCCGGGCACTGTGAACCTTGTGACTGTGCCGCCTGGAGCTATCAGGTGCTGCAGTGCCGAGAAGACTGCCTGCGGAGTGACCTGTTGCAGTATGTGCTCGTAGAATGCTGCATCTCTGGCGATGATTGCAACATTGGCACTGTCTCCCTTGTCACCAGAGCGTCCAGTAGCCACCTCGTGCAGTTTGGCACGCCATGTGAGACCCTGAGGAGGCTGCGTCTGTGATGAGGCAACACCGCTCGCAGTAGTCTCAGAGTCCAGACTGGCTGATGGCTTTCCGTCCGAGCAGCCGTCGAGAGTAAGCGGCACATCAATGGGTGACTCTTGACTGCCGACAAAGACGACGGGGTGAAGCGAGTCCCGACGAACAAGTGCACTGCTGACTACAAAGTTTGGACTCGTCTTCGGCCGTCCGCTGGTCAGCATGCAGATGCCCGGAGCGCTGTTTGTTAGAAATGATGCTGCCTCTTTGCCCATTATATCGAGCACGAAACGCTTCTCATGTCGGGCCGCAACCCTCAACACCACCTCCCTGCGCTCACCAGAGTTGCCCCTAGAACCAAGATGGTGCTCAGCACCGATGATAATGATCTCGTAATCGTCACCAGAGATTCTCTCCTGTGGGTTTGCATGGCTTGCGGCAGCGAGGGCGTTGGTTCGCTCAACAATAGCCCTTCCCAGAGTCTTGGCCTTCCTCTCAGCTTGCTCCCCAGACACAAGCATGTCGACAGATATCCTATAGCCTTGTTGTCGCACAGCTGTGCACTTGAGCCATGGCGTGGGCGGTTTACCTCTGGCGCCCATGACAAGCACACTGTCCGGTGAGCCCTGGCTGATGGTCACCCGACTGAGATCAAGGATCACGTCAGGGAGGATGTAGTTTTCGGTATCGAGAACCTCGTACAGCATCTGCTCGCAGACACTTCGTGTGTTGACAACACCGCCAGTGCGCGGGGGTTTCGAGATCGCGAAGCTGTTGTCAGGAAAGAAGGTCAAGATGGGATAGCCCATATTCGACCAGCCTCCGTGGGGGCTGAAAGCTGATTGTTCCCAGTCTGTGTAGTTCCCACCTGTCGCTTGAGCGCCACATTCGATGATGTGCCCAGCTAGTGAAGCGCTGGCCAACCGATCGAGATCTTCGGGGCTGGTGCCGAAGTTCCATCCAAGCTCGTAGGCAAGAGGTCCTAGGACCAGAGCGCTATCCACGCACCTACCCGTTATGACGATATTGGCGCCTTGTTCCAAGGCTACGGCAATTGGCTGCGCTCCTAGGTAGGCATTCAAACTCAAGTATCCTGTCGACGCGTTGATGCCCTCCTCTACGCTGCCTGCTACCGGGTCAAACTGGTGGAATCGGCCCTCCTTCAGGAGTGTCTCTTTCTGGTCGATAATATCGTCACCGTGGATCGCAGCGACTTTGAGCTTGTGCGACAAGCCACGCTCCGCAAGCTTTGACTCGATGTATTCCTTGAGTCCAACAGGATTGAGACCTCCAGCGTTTGTGACGATCTTAATACCTTTTTCGAGTATAGCATCCAAGTTCGGTAAAAGGGCCAAGTCTGCGAACTCGGTGACAGCCCCGGCGGCTGGGCGCTTCTTCTGGGAGCCTTGAGTGGAACGTGCCGAGCGGGCAAGCAGGCCCATGGTGACCTCTGTGTTGTTCCTGTAAGCGAATGAAAGGGCCCCTTGTGCAGTTCCAACGTACCAGCGAGGTAGTCAGCGACAAGATAGTCGACCTTCTTGTCAGGCCCCTTGATAAACTGGTTGATCGCCCATGGCGAATCTCCCCAAAAAGCACTATCGCATGATGTCAACTTCACGGGCCGGATAACCAAGTCTGGAGTGACATACCCATAGCAGCCAATGCGAACCGGTGGCATCTTCAGAACGAGATTGATGAGATAGAATGTGATGACAAAATGAGAGGCAATCTTGGAATACAAGCAGGTTATTCGACAAGACAACCGAGTCTAACAAGGGCAAGATAAACAATTACATGTATGTATGGTGTATACCTATTGGCACCATGGTGACACCCTATTGGCTGTGGTGGTGCTTACCGCGGCTCGGCACCGGGTCTCTGCCGCGGCTTGGTGTATCTTGAGAAGTCACTGGCGGCGAATACCTCTAATAAAAATAGGCATCTAATTGGTGCTGCATTCTGGCTTAGATGAACTTTCCTCCAAAGACAACGAATGGTACACCGTGTGCCCAGCATGACGACGCCCAAGATCCCCTTACCGTCCGTATTCCCAGAATACAGATCCACAGTCAACGAGAACGACAAAGACTATCGTCAAAATGTTGAAGACTGGAATGGAATTCTGCAGCAGTTCGAGGAAAAGGCGGCATGGGCTGGCGGGGAGGGCGAATCGCGTCACATTGAGTAAGTAGAGGATGTGACCTATACCTATGTAGTGCTAATGTTGGTTGTCAGGAGACACCACGCTCGTGGGATGCTGTCCGGTACGACTCTTTTAGTTTCTCAACTATTCGTTGACGTGGGAAAACTGACAGGTTTACACAGCCCGAGATAGAATCGCCATGCTTCTCGATGAGGGATCACCTTTTCTGGAGCTGATGCCGTTTGCTGGCATCGGGGTCAAAGAATCCAGCCCCGCTGCAAGCCTGATTGTAGGAATAGGTCTTGTATGGTTAGTTACCCGACAAGGTGGCTCGTCTGTGCATGACATATCTGACCGTCTACAGTGGAATCAAGGTAATGCTGATTGCGAACATACCCACCATCGTTGGTGGCGCTCTGAACGAACTCACGGTCCGCAAGCAACATCGAGCTTCCGAGATCAGTCTTGAGAATCGCCTGCCAATCATCTTCCTAAACCAGTGTGCGGGAGCAAATCTGCCCCAACAGTTCCGCGTCTTCCATCAGAGCGGGAAGCTGTTCCGGGACATCATTAGACGTTCTGACGCTGGATCTCCGACATGCACCATCGTCTTTGGCAGCAGCACTGCCGGAGGAGCATACGAACCTGGTGTGTCCGAGTTCAGCATCCTTGTTAAGAGCCAGGCGCAGATGTTCTTAGGAGGCCCGCCGTTGGTACAGATGGCAACGAGCGAGATCAGCAGTGCCGAGGAGCTCGGAGGAGCAGAGATGCACACCACTGTTAGCGGCGTAGGAGATGCGCTTGCGGCAGATGAGTTTGACGCCTGCCGTCTGGCTCGGAGCTGGGTTCAAAGCATCAACAGGGAGAACCTCCACATCGACCGTGCACTGGATCACGTCGAGGCTCCCCTCTATAGCCCCGACAGCATCCTCGGCCTCATTCCCGAGAATGTCAGGATGCCACTCAATATGCCCGAGGTCATTGCTCGCATTGTGGATGGCAGTCGCTTTGAGCCTTTCAAACCTCTGTACGGTACTGGCATGTTATGTTGCTGGGCACGCATTCACGGCCGTCTTGTTGGCATCATCGGAAACATGTCGTCCGTCATCTTTGTCAACGAAGCCCGCAAGGCCACACAGTTCATCCACCTCAGCAACGCTTACGGGACGCCTATTATCTATCTACACAACGTCACTGGGTTCATGGTCGGGAAGAAGAGCGAGTCCGAGGGTATGATCAAGGCCGGTTCGCTGCTCATTGACGCCGTGTCTCGATCCTCTGTGCCTCAGATCTCCATCGTTTGCGGATCATCCTACGGAGCTGGCAACTATGCCATGTGTGGCCGATCGTACTCGCCCAGGTTTCTCTTCTCGTGGCCTCACAGCAGATGCGCCGTCATGGGTCCAGAGCAGCTCTCAGGTGTCATGGAGATCATTGCTCGACAGGCAGCTGAGCGGTCTGGGAGGGGCATGGATGAAGCCAAGTTGGCGGCGAGCACTGCCAAGACGACGGAGCAGATCGAAACTGAGAGCAAGGCGTACTACACCTCGGCGTGGTGCCTGGATGACGGAATAATTGACCCGAGGGATACGCGTGACGTTCTCGGCATGTGTTTGGAGGTGTGCGAGAACTCACCTTACAAGGGTCTTGAGGGCTACAGGGGAGTCTCCAGGCTGTAGTGTAGTCACAGCCGACTAGATTTGTTTTATTTAATGTCCATGGTAGAAGCAATTCATTCGTTCACTGGAAGTAGGCATGAACAAAATCTCTTTGTGAAGCTCAGGCTTAACTTTCGTCAAGATAAACAAACAGCGAGGTTGAAGCATACCGAAAAACTCGAGAAATTCAGGGGCTTGGCAAAGTGGACCCGCTGTTAACGAGGAGTAGCCAATGACTGCTCTGGATAAGAGGGAGATAGCATTGGCTCTATGACCTTTGATTTGTGGAAGATGGGGCATGGCTTACTTTCACGCATAACGGGGTAAAACCCCAGTTTGCCAAGCCCCTGAATTTCTCGAGTTTTTACGGTAGGTTCAACTCTTTCAACACTGCGATTATAGTACAATGTCGTGTGAAAGTGAAATATTGTCTCACATGTAGATAGCTGTTATATGAAGCCCGTAGAACATACCGAGTTAATAATATCCAGCTGTTTCGTTTTGTTGGCCTACTACCTACGCAGCCTGCTCTGGTCAAGATCGTGCATGATCAAGTTAGGTACGCGACATTACAAAACTATGGGTGCAGAGTCCACACAGATAAACAATGTTAGATAGTATTTTAATCAGGTCTCGGAGAGAACTATCTCCCTCTGGGCCGAGCAATAGAATATTCTTTTTATCATCACACCTTGTGAAACGCAACTTGGGCTTCGCGCATTGCAAACAACATTACTTCCTCTGTTACCCTGTAGAAGAAAGTACTGAACTATTTTTGTGCCCTATTTGTGCCCATCTTTGTGCAAGCACAGTACTAGTCTCCAATAGGCGCACCAAGTCACCTCGGTCAGACCTGTCATTGGTTGCACAAAAACAAACCCCCTGCTGCCTTGGATCCTCGGTAGTCCCTGTGATAGGCGGGTTCAATCCCGACCCTCTCTCCACGGCAAACAAGCAGGGGGAACAGGTCCTCCATGGAGATCTTGGCTGGACACTTCCAAGGCAAATGCTCACTGAGTATGTAACATGAACCTAGGCTCGGGATTATTGAACCGGCCGCGGGACTAATACGGTATGCATATTTCCTAAAAGTCGATCGCCGGCCAGTAGACACTCAGCATCTTCATCAGCTTTCGACCATTCACCAGCCATGATTCGCCAACAAGACCTGTTCATTGCGGCCCCAATTTATGCAAATGGCAAGCTCAAGATATCAAGTGTCCTGATTGCAAACCGTGGCGAGATTGCTTGCAGGGTCATTGCTACCTGTAAGAAGCTGGGTATCGCGACATTTGTAGTCTTTACCGATGCGTAAGTGATCCATCTTTTTGTTGCCTCATCGTGTCTGCATGGCTAACTGAAAACCACCTCAGAGATTCCAATGCACCATTCGTTAAGCTTGCCGACAAGGCTCACTATCTTGGTGACCCTGAGAGCCAACCTTATCAGAATGGCGAGCTCATAATCGAGATAGCCAAGAGATTTGGAGCTGATGCCATTCATCCTGGTACAGTTAAATCTTGATGTCCAATGCCAACTTTGGTGCTAACGCTCCAAGGGTACGGTTACTTATCAGAGAATGCGGACTTCGCAGCGGCCGTTGGCTCCGCTGGGCTCGTCTTTCTTGGGCCCTCACCCCAGACAATCGCTGCTCTTGGAGACAAGGTACGTATTGCAGGCTGTGCTTCTGATCGGTAATGCTTAACGGGCGTAGCGCGAGGCCAAGGAGTTTCTGGCGGCAAGATCATCGGTCCCCTTGGTGCCAGGATATGGCGGGTTAGATCAGGATCCGGACCTTCTGGAGAAAGAAGCTGACCGGATCGGATATCCCGTCATGATCAAGGCGTCTGCTGGTGGAGGCGGAAAGGGTATGAGAATCGTGCACTCGAAGGAAGAGTAAGTTGACTCCATGTGGCTGCTCAATGACGGCTTGTTGACAGCTGACGGCATATCAGTTTTCGAGAATCGCTACAGCGCTGCACTTCCGAGGCTGGACGTCTGTTCGGCTCAGCTCACTGTCTCATCGAAAAGTACATCGAAGCCGGGAAGCATGTGGAGATGCAGATATTCGGCGATGGTGAAACTGCCGTCAGTTTCCTCGACCGTGAGTGCTCGGTGCAGCGCCGCAACCAGAAGATCATCGAGGAAAGCCCCTGTCCCTGGCTGAGTGCGGAGATGAGGCAGGATATGTCAAACTCGGCCCTGGAGATTGCGAGACTCTTGAAATACGAGTCCGCTGGAACAGTCGAGTTCATAGTGGTAAGCTAGCTCCGTTCTTGTAACAGAAAGCAGGTTCTAAAGAGACTTTACAGGATATCAAGAACGAGCGGTACTACTTCTTGGAAGTCAACACCAGAATTCAAGTCGAGCACCCAATCACAGAAGAGGTTGTCGGCATCGATCTCATCGCCCTTCAAATCTACGTCGCTGGTGGTGGCAAGCTTCAGGCTCCGCCACAGCTTCAGGACATCAAACAGATTGGACATTCCATCGAGGTCCGGCTGTGTGCTGAGGACCCCTTCCACGACTTTCGCCCATGCACGGGCACGATATGTCAGTTGAAAACACCTCTCGATAGCAAGAGCGAGGATTGTGCTGGTCTTCGATACGAACTCGGAGTTGAGCGTGGCTCAGCAATCACGGTGCATTTCGATTCCATGATATCCAAAATCATTGTATGGGCACCTACCCGCGCCATGGCTATCGCCAAGATGATCCGCGCTCTGAAGAATACTGTCTGCTTTGGGCTCACCACGAACCAAGTATTTCTTCAGAGAATCCTGGCTTCGCCGCATTTCCACGACGTCAGCTATACTACGGCTTTGATCCCACAAAACATGGGCGAGTTGACTGCTCCTTTGGACACGGCGTCCGTTGACAGCAGCACCGCCATCGCTGCTCTTGAAATCTCTCGTCTGAAACCCGCTTCCACCGACAGAAGATCCGCGTTCAAGAGCATCCCCATGTCTTTTCGCAACCAAAGGGCCGGCAAGAATATGTCTGCTGCTGGTCTCGTGTCTAGCGAGATTACAAAATCTGGGCAAGATGAGAAGGTCGATATGCTGGTGAGCAAGGATGATATGGGAGCTTATCGGGTTGTCCGACTGGACCCAGAGATCCCTTCAACTTCAGCAGAGGAGGATGTCTACTTCAACAAGGAGGGTGGCCCGCTCGTGAAACGATACTACTCAGCCATCAGGTCGAAGAGAGAGACCAGATTCGAAAACGTTTCCATTCTTGACTCTTTTGTAGAGGCGTGCCCTCCCTGGTCCACTGGTAAGTTGAAGGTGTCTTTCGCCGGCCAAATTGCGACATACGACTTCGCAACGGCCTCTCAGGGTGAATTCAAGAAGAGCATTTATATCCAAGAGTCTGGGTCTGGAGTTCCCATCCTCTACACCGTGTCCGGGCTGCTGGCATGGGCCGGCATGCTTGATGAGAAGGCAAGCGAGGCGCAGAAAGCAAGTAAGTTGACCCTTTCTCTTCATCCTCCTGGCGGCTGGGAGCTCACATCTTTTGCTTCTTAGACTCGCGGGTATCTACCTGCCCAATGCCGAGCAAGATCTTGGAAGTCACCGCAAAGGACGGTACTTGGGTCAAGGTGGGAGATAAGCTGTTAGTGCTCGAAAGCATGAAGATGGAAATTCAGGTTACATCTTCTGCAGAGGGCATTGTCAGCATGCAGGTTAAAGAAGGAGACATCCTTCCAGAGGGCTCGGTTCTTTGTGAGATTCTAGAGGGCGAAGAAGACTCCATGTCAGCATAGTAGAGTCTCTCCATAGTACTCTTTTAGAAGTAGATGAAGAAATGCTCGTTGATACCTTACTTCATGTCACGGAGAAGAGAGAGCCAGCCCCAGCAGCAAATCATGCAGTTCTGACTATAATGATGGAGTTGAACCCAAGGCCTAATGAGACTGTAACATAAATGGCGTTGTTTAGTTGTTCTTCAACTCATTCAGCAAGACTGATTCGCCTTCGTTGTGACTCTGACGTGACCATCGCCAAAGGCCAATCCCGATCACATTGATCAAACAACTATGCAGTAAATATCGGAGTTGGAAGTTAGGATTGAGCTACATACAAAATCTGTACTTCTACTTCCAAGAGCAAGAGTACTTGCCAATCTCAGTCTTCCATCGGCAGCTCAAAGTTTGGAAGATGCCTTCTTGGTATACCACGCTGCCCAGTCCACATTTCGGTTCCCCGTCTGGAACTCCTTCATCCCATACGCCACCTCTTCATTAGGCTTGATCATAGTAAGGAACAGTTCCCTAATTTTGGCATCCCGTTCCTCAACCGTAGGCGAATCCAGGGCGTTTCTGATCATCCGCTTGGATTCACCCACTGCATGCGGTGCGCAGCCTCGTTGCTGCTTTAGCACCTGCTGTACGCGTTCTTGGCCCTCGGCTAGCGTATCAACCAAGTAGTGTACGCTCCCTTTGGCGTGAAGCTCGCTAGCTGGCACGTTGCGCGCCTGAATCATGGCTTCCCGAGCCAGTGGCGCGCCCCATTCCCGGACGATGAAGGGTGATATGATGGCTGGGGTGAGGCCTCGTCTGACTTCTGATAGAACGAAAAAGGCCGACGAGACTGAAATGCGGATGTCGCAGGCAAATGCAAGGCCAGTTCCTCCACCGTAGCACGGCCCGTTGATCAAGGCGATGATGGGCTTGGGACAGAACTCGACAGCCTTGAAGAGGTCCAGCAACTGTTCAAAACGGCCGGCTTGTGTATTGGATCGATCCGCACCCTTGGGAACGTTCTCGAGGAGAGACGAGCTGCTGGATAGATCCATGCCGGTACAAAAGTATTTTCCCGCGCCCGTTAGGACAATGGCAATCAGGGTGTTGTCTTTTCCTGCATCTTCAATGACTTGCCGAAGTTTGACGATGAGATCCACGTTGAGGGAGTTGCCCTTTTTCGGATTGTTGATGGTAATGAAGAGAGTGGAACCGTCCCGCTGCTCAAGAATTTGGGAAGCCATGTTATCGGTTTATCTGGTTTACAGAATGGTTCTGGATATGTGTAGAGTTACTGGGTTGTATTTAGACCTCCCTTTAGGTCCAGTCTGGGATGAGTCGATAGATACCTATGGGGACAGATGCGATATCTCAGCGCTCGGTACGATGCACACGTCGTGCTTCTGCGGGATAGCTCCCCCTGAACTAAAATCCTCGGATAACCAAAGCGGATTTGCCGTTTGTTGTCATAAGTTGACAGCCGAGCCAAGGGTGGCTAGTTCATCCCGCGGCAAAGCCTTTGACTGGTCCCAGCTGCAAGGGGCCATTGCACTACTGTCTTTACAGCAGTCTACCTCTCTAGGTACTGGTGGGCATTAAATTGGACACTACTGCTTTTTTCTAGAAAAGACAAAGAGAGCCGTGCACTATCAGTGTTGTTACAACGTTTACCTCGTAGAAAATGGATCCTCCGAAGTTTAAGAACCTTACCCTTGAAGTGGTGGATGGTGCCATTGCCATCGTCACGCTTCGGCGGGAATTCTCTGCCAATTCCTTGCATCCCGATCTATTGATCGTAAGTCCATCGACACCCTGTTATGACCCCGAAAGCATTTTAATAATTGTTGTTACCAAAGGAATGGATTGCTGCTATGAGATGGGTGATTGCGGTGCCCGAGATTAGCGTCGTCGTCCAGACGTCCGCAGGCAAATTCTTTTGCACAGGTTTGTCTCCCATTGATTATCTAAGCGCTCGGTGAACTGACGACTTGAATAGGAATGGACTTTGACAATTGGCCGCCACCGAAGGATGAGCTGGCCGAGAATATGGACTCTTTCATCGCCAACTTCAAGTAAGGGAGTCGCTACGACATGCACGATATCTTGTACCACGAGCTGACACGGCATGCAGGGTCCTGAACGAGCTGCTCATCACCTGTGACAAGGTCCTCATCGCCGCTGTCAACGGGCCATGCGCCGGCTATGGAGTCACATGCTTGGCCCTCTACGACCTTGTGTACGCGGTGCCGAGCTCCTACTACTTCTGCCCATTCCTGAAATGGGGATTCTCCGCCGAAGGTTGCTCCACGTTGACCTTTCCCCAAATCATGGGCCACCAGAAGGCCTCGGCTCTGCTGCTCGCCGGAGAGAGAATGTCGGCAGAGGAGCTCAGTGCGGCAGGGTTAATTACAAAGGTTGTGGGTGAGAACTCTCTGATGAAGGATGTCATGGAGGTGGCGACGCGCATTTCGCGATGCCCGCCTGGTGCGCCGGCCGCGACCAAGAACTTGATGTTGACGAACAACCGTGAAAGGCTGTTGTCAATCAACGCTTTGGAGTGTGTCGTCTTGAGGACTAGACTTCATGATCCAGCATGCCAAGCGGCTGCAGCAGCCTTCACTGAGAGGAAGAAGAAGCGTGCTTCTAATGCCAGTAGACTCTGAGCCGTGCGAGATGCAGTGCGGACAAGAGGAGTAGAAGTAGGCAACAAAGTCTAGAATACAAGCACTCATTTTGTTTAACATTTTCGGCTAGATGACTGTTTCCTTGATGATGCCTCCAAAGTAAACATCGGCTAGTATAACTGAGAATACATCAAAATCTAATGTTCCAAAACACCGTCACCGAGATATGTCACTTGCTATAGACATGGCAGAAAGGTTATAATTTTTCACTGCATAAACTCCTGGTACTTGGAAGAGATGATTGTAATCCAGCAGCATCAACCTTCTGCCACTGAACACAGACCCCAGTCGAATAAAGGCGAAAAATCATGCGCTTGACCTCATCGTCTATTGTGTCGTTTTAATTATCTTGTGATGTTATAATCGACTAACTACAGATTTTCGATGGTCTTCTACGGCGCCTTTGCCTCTCAATGAATTTGATGAAATGCATACAAAAGGAAACAGTAACAAGGACTACGCGGTGGCCACAGACCCGTACTCGTGTGACATGGTGTTGTGCTCAATGGCTCGCTATCCTGATTAGGAAATCCCGCGGCAGCTAGAACGACGGCGTTTCACCGCGGATACTCCATAGGGCCAAACGCACTATGCGACACGAGAGAATAGCCAGGCTGGTAGTTGATACAAAACAATTATTCCGTCGCTTTTGCGTCTGAGTAGTTGTCCTATAGAGATCATCACCTGTGTCATAGACAACTACCAGTATGCCACCATCCCGTCCTAACGCCCCTTTCAGTGAGCCTTACTGGCACTACGGCGCCCCGCCTCCGTACTATACCGAGTCCCATTTCAAGCTGCAGGCCGAGACTCGAGCTTACGTGAATGAGTACATCACTCCTTTCTGCGAAGAGTGGGAACGTCAGGGATCCATACCTCGCGAGGCAAGTAGCACACTCCACAAGAGAAGAGGTCTTGTTTCCTAACAAGGCTACTAGGCATACGAGAGGCATGCAAAGTTGGGCTACGTTGCTGCAGGCCTGTTCCCGCCGGAGCCTGATTACCTGGGCGAAGTAATTCTGCCTTGTGGGATCCCTCCTGACAAGTGGGATGGCTTCCATGACCACATTGTCGTTGACGAGCTGACCCGCTGCGGGTACATGGGTGTTGTCTGGGCCCTCGCCTGCGGAAACATCATCGGCTGTCCACCACTCATCAACCATGGAACGCCCGAGCAGAAACGGCGCCTTCTGCCATCCATTTACAACGGTACTACACGGTTCTGTTTGGCAGTCACTGAGCCTTCAGGTAAGTGTGATTAGTTGGATGTTCCCGGACGGGACTAATGGGATCTCATCGTAGCCGGCTCTGATGTAGCGGGCATCAAGACTGTCGCCAAGCGCCAAGGAGACAAGTACATCGTGAACGGCACCAAGAAATGGATCACAAACGGCGTGTACGCCGACTACTGTACGGCTGCTGTCAGGACTGGCGGTCCAGGCCAATCAGGCATCTCGGCTCTCGTCATCCCATTGGACGCCAAAGGTGTGACCAGGAGGCGAATGGACAATTCGGGCATCAATGCTAGCGGTACGTACACAGTAGAAGCGTTTACTAGTGGCACATGCTAACTGATTGGTGTCAGGGTCGACCTTTATCGAATTTGACGATGTCGAGGTCCCCATTGGGAACTTACTAGGAAAGGAAAACGAGGGATTTGGAATCATCATGAGCAGCAAGTCTTTCTAACCAATCACATCCTCCATCATAGCTGACACCAAGGGTTACAGATTTTAATCATGAACGATTATGGCTTGCAACTATCTGTCTGCGTCTGGCTCGAGTCTGCGTGGGACACGCCCACGACTACGCGACCAAGCGCGAGACGTTCGGTAAGAAGCTGATAGAGAACCAAATTATTCGTGCCAAGCTCGTCGATTCTGGAAAGAAGATCCAGGCTGCCTATGCCTGGCTGGAACAGCTCATCTGGACCCGTCAGCGTCTTACAAACCACGATGGCCCAGACACCCTGGGTGCTAGCGTTGCCATGCTCAAGACCCTGTCTGCTCGCACCCTGGAGGAGACGGTACGCGAGGCGCAGCAGATATTTGGAGGGCTGGGATATTCTAAGAATGGCCGCGGGAGAGTGGTGGAGCAGATCAGCCGCGACTTTAGAGTTCTCGTGGTGGGAGGTGGGAGCGAGGAGATTTTGACAGACTTTGCATACAGGCAAGAGTCCCGAACTCTTAAAAGGCTTGCCAATGAAGCATCAAAGCTGTAATTGGTAAGGTAGATGGGAGGAATCTGGAGTCGTAGAAGAAATCAAGAAGCCATATAACCAAATCTTGCTGGTCAGTCTTGTATGAAGCCCGGAATGGTCGTTCGGGGGTACAAATGATACATCTTTCCTCCATAGCTTCCGGCTTCTCCGTCCTTACCAGACTTCAGACAGTGAATTCTCTATAGAATTACCCAGCACGCTTCTTATACATAATAATGCGAATAATGTCTCAAGTGGAAAATGTTCCATGTCATTTCAACCTACAGACACAGGTAGATCACTACAATTCATGAAGCCCCCTTTGTGGGCCTTACCCTTACTATGTACTCAATAGCTTAGTTAAAACTTTCTTGGTGAATGGAGTCATGGATTAACACCTGGACAAAGGTAAGGAAATGTCGACAAGAGACAGATGGCGGATATCCTAACATCGAGATCTAGAGAGCAAAATCTAGTTACGCTACACCAAAGCACATCATGCACCAATAAGCCTTGACCCGATTTCACGCAGAGCTACCTTGCGAACTTTTCCGCTAGCAGTCTGCGGCAGAGTCTCGCACACGTCCTTGTCCCCGATCCACCAGATGTAGGCCGGAATCTTGTGTCTCGCTAAGGTTTTCCCAACCCAAGTTTGAAGTTCCGAGGTCGAGGGGCGAACCGGACCTGATCCCTCCTCCTTTTGGACAAAGGCGGCCACAACTTCGCCGTACTTGGCATCCTTGATACCGACGACGCTGGCTTGTATAATTGACGGGTGCTGAACAAGACAGTCCTCAATCTCGGCAGGGTAGATATTCTCACCGCCTATACACAGTGTCAATAACAATTTCGATAGTACTGACATGTGCATGTCTCCATATCTTAGGGGTCTGCTTACCGCGAATGATAATATCCTTGATGCGACCTGTCACACGGCAGAATCCATCCTTATCAAGCGTCACCTCGTCACCAGTACGCAGCCAAACAGTTCCATCATCTTCTTTGTGCAGCATCTCCTCGGTGCCTTGTGGATTCTTCCAGTAACCGCGGAAACTGTTGTAGCCTGCAATAAGAATTTCACCTCGTTGCCCGAGAGGAACGGTCTTGCCGTCCGTGTCAACTACCTTGGCCGTGACATGCGGCATGACCTTGCCCACTGTTGTCGAGTAAGTTTCGAAGGAGTCTTCAACCGTGTTCAAGAAGGTGACTGGAGAGCACTCCGTCATCCCTTGTGCAAGTTCTGTCAGTAACATTCTTCATCTAGCCAGCGGGACCTAGTGATGCTTACCAAATGCCTGTACGATATGAGGAACCTGCAAGATTTCTCGGATCTCTTTGAATAGCTTCATTGGAGTGGCAGCTCCACCAGTGATAGCAACCCTTACCGATGACAGATCGTACGTTCCAGGAGGCTGAGAGAGGACTTCCTGGATATACGCCGTATGCATTGTTGGGACCCCATAGATGAGTGTGCATCTATCCTCCGTCATCGACTGGAGAGCCCGGACTGGACTAAAGCTCTCGCTCGGAAACACGAGCAAACTGCCGTGTGCTACAGACATGAGAACGCCTAGCACGAGGCCGAAACAATGAAACAGAGGTACCACGCAGCAGAGGACATCGTTCTCGGTGAGCTGTAGTCGATCACCAGATCCGATGCAGTTATTGATCAACCCACTGCGTAGGAGAAGGAAAGCGAAAGATTTAGCGTCCGTATCGCAAGAACGACGGAGAAGTAGGTACTCACCTATGGGTTAACATGGCAACCTTGGGTTTGCCAGTGGTTCCGCTCGTAAACTGCAGGCTGCAGACATCATCCGCTTGCACTGCCTTTTCGGCACCCTCCAGATCCTTTGCAGGAACCTCAAGGCCTCGCAAAATAAGTGATTCATAGGAAATGGTCCCATCCGACCCCTTGGAGTTCCCTCGCTCCAAAAGAACACAGGTGAGCGGGTCCGTAGAGGATGAGAGATGCTTGGCGCGCATGCTCTGAATGGTAGGGGCCATGTTTCGTGACCCGATAAAAGGAGTTGTGAAGAATAACCGGCATTCTGTTGGTTCATGGTGTGTAAGTATACGTTGCCGTCCTCGGACTGGAAGACATACCAGCACGATGAACCGCATTCTCAACCTCGTCATTTGTATAGTTTGTGTTCAGGACCACCAGCGGCAGTCCTACCAACCCAGCAGCAAAAATAACCTCGACATACTGCTCGCAGTTACCCGCCATGATGGCGATGTGGTTGCCGCGAGAAAGTCCTAGGGATAGCAGACCTGCTGCTAGTGCCCTGCTGCGACTGTGAAGCTCTTTGTAAGTCAGTTGTTGCCCTGTCCAAGAACATCTGACGGCACATCGGTCCCCAAAGACTTCGACCTGCCGCTCGAGCAACATGCCTAGCGTTTCGGACGAGAGCGGCGGCTCATTCGGCCCACGCACAATCGAAAGTTGGGTTTCTTGGGGAGCATCTGAGGTGAGTGCGACACCGTATAGGTGGCCGAGGGTTTGCTGGAGTCTTCTCAGGGCCATTGTTACAGTGTAAGGAGACGGTCGACAAAGGGGTTGTGTGTATTCTGAAGCTCATCAAGAAGCGCTACATTGTCTAGGACGGTACACTCAGCCTCGTCGTTTGCATGCGTACATGTATCTAGGTACGCTTTCGTAACACTTTTCCCGAACCGGAATACATGATACTGAGAGGCCGAGGAACACTCTTTCATAGGCCTGACGCCAATAATATTGATACCTCGCTCCATGTAGTTCCCTAACCCGGGGGACCTTGCCTGAAGGCTGGCTAGTGGCTACCCCGCAAACTCACTAAGCCCAACCCAGATCCGGGGTCAGAGCCGCGGTAGCAGAGCTCATTGGACGAAACAACCCTAGGAAAGGGTCAATCACTCTCCGGGTCTTTGTCCTCCCCCCGTTGTCTGGCTCCTGCGGCTCGCATCACATCTCTCCACACACGAGGCGCACAGCATGGACTTCACATTAGACCCCCAGGACTCCGGAAGCCCTTCTTGGGCAAGTTCAACCCCGAGGCCTGGCCGGTTGCAGTTTTGGGTTGACATGGCCAATGGTCCCGGCTTCGATGTGGGGAGTCCGGAGCCGGACAGTCATTGCCCTGATGAGGAGGCCGTCGACGCAATGGCTCGTCACCCGAGTTCCCCATCAGCCCACAGCGCGATATTCGGCACTTCAGACCTCTCCTCTTCTGACAAGCCGCCCGGTGACCAAGATCCTCGGTCTCCCGGAAATATCCTGCCGCCCACATCTCTGTCTGCGGCGGCTGAAACCCCTCCATTGAGTGGCCAGCATGCCCAGATCGTCACACGCAGTGGGACATTGCAGGTGGCTGAAGATGGCCACAGCAGGTATTTCGGAGCAACAAGTAATCTAAACCTGATCCATAATGGCCCATACTCATCCTTCTGCCCCTCTCTCAAGAACCTTCGTGTCGATGGCGAGCTCGCCATTAAGAGTGCGAGTCTGCAATGGGCTGGCGACCTGGCCTATGAGTCCCATCTATGGGAATGCTATCTCACATGGCTGAACCCTCTGACAAGCCTCGTTGAACAAAGTCTCTTTGATCAAGACAAGGAGAATTTCTTATCCGCGCAGGACAACGATTTTTACTCGCCTGCCTTGGAAAATGCAATGTAGGTCCATCCTATGTCTCGACTGCTCATGCAAGGAGCCCCCTTAGCTTCGAGCCTCTTGGTGTTGAGTATCGTTACTCATCAACTATCTTTAGCTTCTCCACAGGCGCCATACATACAACGCGCCAACACCCTTCTATCATAGGCGACGCATGCAAATTCTTCGCCAGTAGAGCGAAGGTTTACCTTGACCTTGAACTTCAAACGCCAACAACAGCAACGCTCCAAGCTCTTGTTCTGCTCTGCGAACATGAAGCTGCCCAGGGTAGAGATAGCCAAGGTCAGTCTTGATGACTTCTTCTCTCAGCAGCCTCTGAGACTGACCATGTGTGATCAGGCTGGATATACTCAGGTATGCATGTGTAGGACTAGCACACATTCCTGAATACTAAACCCAAGATAGGAATGGCAACCCGAATTCTATCTGATCTGGGGCTCCAGTTTCATCGCACCTCTTCAGATGGAACCGAGAGCTGCGGCGCTGATATCTCAGACGCAAAAGCCCGGGTCTTCTGGTCGGTTGTTCACCTTGACACGTGAGTTCCGCCGTCGTCATATTCGCATGGGTTTGACCGAGAACACAGGATTTGGTCGAGTTGGTGCGGAAGGCCTCAGTCTCTTAGTACGAGGGACTGTTTCTTTCACCAAGCTCCCACTCTGAGATGCTCCGGTGCCACAGACGCCAATCCTAGAGGCTATGTGCACGTTTATCTGGCCCCGTTGGTGACTCAATTTAGCAAAACCATCGACTACATGCAAGTGCAAGTTCATGGTCATAGCTCCAAACTCCTGCTAACCCCTTGACGACAGGTATCATAGCAAAGAAGCCTCTCGAGAGTCTCTGTCTAAGTTTGCAGCGCAGATGGACGCGTCACTCCGAGATTGGGTGGTTTCACTTCCACAATCTCTACAATTTACATCAACTCAAGGTGACCAATCCCCAGATCCCGTTGTGTTGCAGTTACAGTAGGTCTATCGTCCAACCCCGACAGGAGGTCTTGTGACTCGACGGTTGCTAATGCATCAAAAAAAGTCTTTTATATCATGAGATTCGAATGCTTCTTCACCGGCCCCTCATTAGCTCTAGCTCCAGTGTTATTGGCCTCCAGTCCATGATTGGCAGGGTACCTGAATCTCATCATGATATTTGTATCAACTCGGCCTCCGATATCATCCGCTTGATGGGTCAGTTTCGCGACCGATTCGGCCTCTGCCACTTGTCATCGTACTGTGTGCATATCCTGATGACGGCCGGAATATTACTCGCATACAACACATCTCTGGCAGACCAGACGAGGGAGTTCAGGAGCAAGTCGGCAAGCCTCACACAGGCAAGCATCCGCATGATGACCGAGTTGACATCAACATTTCCAGTTGCACGCCGGTCTCTGGAAGTTCTTACGAGCTTGAGGCGAGAATGGCAGAACTGTAACTAAGTAGGGACATGGTCTGGGAAGATGATGCTGAAAGTCGGGTGACCAGGCACAAGGGCCTTCTCACATGAACTAGAGTACACCATACTAACGCTACACGTAAATTTGACTGTATTCTTTAGAAGATATGCTATTAAATGCGTAAATAACTTCCTCCTTAGCTCTGCTGGGTATAGAGGCAGCTGACGGGATCTTTGATGTTTCCGGTGCGGGCAGTAAAGCCTAAGCACTCGTCATATCCGTTGGGATTCGTGGAGCCGACTGAAACCCAAACAACCCAAGCATCGTTGGCGCCGAGGCAAGCCTTCAGGCTGGCGCCCTCAAGCGTGAGATTCCCGTCGCTATCGATCTCCCAACCCGTGAGTTCGGCATTCCGAGGGGGCGACTGAGCGCCAGTGGTGTAGCCAACACGGCCTTGACCTAGACAAACGTTAACATGAGCAAGGGTTAATAAGAAGGTCAATATCTCATTGCTTACCCATTCCAGAACGGTCAGCATAGACCTGTTGGGGCGGGTTGTCCGTCTTGTAGAGGTAAAGTTCGCCGTTCTTCAGGTAAAAAGTGGCTGCATCTGGCTTCTCTCCCCTATCGCACGAGGCGCCTTGGTCGGGGAGGCCGAGGAAGAGGCTGCTGTTGGCGGCAGTGACCTTGGAAAAGTGTATGTCGCCGCCAGAACGTAGAGAAATGACCTGGAAAGACGGGTTGCTGACGATCTTGGTGTCGGTGGGTACAGCTGCGGCAAGGCCGCTGAGAGAGGCAAGGAGGAGGTTCTTATACAACATTTTGGCAAGAAAATGAGATTTTGTTTAATTTAAAAGCGTGCAGGAAGAGCAAATTCAAGTAATGGAATTGTAGATATACACCTTTATATATCTGGATAGACACTTGGCAAAAGGGGGCGGTGGAGGATCAGCGTGTTGATCATCTCGTGTTCGGAGGCTCTGGAAACCATAACATTATGCAACTGACATCACTTCTTATCCACAGTGGAAAATAGAAATATCATTTGATGAATGTATAAATAGATTCAATTATTACGTAAAACCGTCTTTAAATTGACAAGACGCAATACCTTCTTCATGAGACATATCTAAACAGGGGTGACTTGTCTCCCATCTCCATGAGTTCGTCTAAAAGTAATAGTTAGCTTCATTCCATCATTATCCACCCTTCATATTATAACTTACCTTCGGTATACCGCGATAGAATGTCAGCCTCTTGAACGAGATCCCTCTTCTTGTTGATCGATTTGATCGCGAAACGCAGGACCATAGTGCAAACAATACCCAGAAGAAGAATTCCAAGGGAGAATCCGTAACCCAGCCAGTAGTGAGGCGCCTGCTTGGCAAGGAAGATGTTTGATCCCACCGCACCGCCGAGGTTGCCGATGGTCATCAACAATGCCATGCCGATAGCTCGCTTGAACGAAGGGGCAAGGTTATTTCCGACCCATGAGACGCAGCCAATTACTGCGGGGTAGAGGCCGCTAGGAATGCAGAAGAGAAAGGCGTAGGTCAAACCCGGTAGGCGTGGGTGTGGAATAGAGAGCAGGCCGACGAAGCCAACTAGGGCAATGCTGAAAGGGATGATGATAAACACCCATCGGTTGCGGCGCCTGTCCGCCAGATAGGCAAAGAAGAGAGTCAAGCAGGCGCCGAGGAAGTAGATTGGGATGGTGAGGAGTTGAGCTTGAGCAGCCGTGTATCCGAGCTCTAGGATGATCGTGGGCGAAGCGAAGCTGAAGCCATAAATGCAGATACTTGGAGCCAAATAGTTAGACAAGGTCACAGAATAGAAGGCTTCACTTTACCTGTTACCCCAGTAGATAACGCATCCAAGATAGATCTTCCAGTCAAGCAATGCTTCCTTGAGATACTTCCACTGGAATGAACCCCCTGTTCCGACTTTACCAGCGGATGTTCCGGCATCCTGTTCTAGACGCCTGTGGATAATTTCCTTTTCTTCCAAAGTCAGGAAGCTGGCACTGTTCGGCGAGTCGGGAAGCGTCCAAGGAATGCTGAATCCAATAAGGACGGTCAAGATGCCCTCCAGGATGAAGATCCATCGCCACCCACCGAGGCCTCCGACGCCATCCATATGCTGGATGCCAAAGGCTAGAAGACCAGAAAAGGCACCCGCCAAAGATGCCGCGGAGAAGAAGATGGCCAGACGTGTCTGTAGTTCCCAGCGGACATACCAAGTTGTCAAAAGATATGTCGCTGCGGGAAAGAATCCGGCTTCCGCCATGCCGAGAAAGAATCGCGTCACGAGGAGATGTTGATATGTCTTGACGATACCTTGCAGAACCAGAACCTGTAAAACCAGGGGTTAGTATTCCATATAGCAGCCAGTGTGTTGTGCTTACCGTTCCCCAGGTTACGACAAGAATGGCCATCCACCAAGAAGGCCTCATGAGTTTGAGAACAATGTTGCTCGGTACCTCGAACAGGGCGTACGGGAAGAAGAATATGGTCAATGCCATGTTGTACTGAGCCGGGGTAAGCTCGAGGTCCACGTTCATGCCCGCGACTCTGGCGTTTCCAATGTTGGATCGATCCATGAAGGAGAGAACGTAGAGGACCGTGAGGAGAGGCAGCAGTCTCCTGTCAACTTTGGCCCTGAGTTTCTTGACTTGGCCATCATCGTATTGTGGGATCTATCGAGGAAGTGGTTAGCTTTTCCACTCTGGTCAAGGGTTACGGTGAAGCACAAACATTCGACGCTTCGAGCTCCCCATGTTTCTCAGATGACGCATCGTGCTCAGGAATGGAGCCGTTTCTGCTATGCTCGAGGTGAACTACCCCCTGGCTATCGGTGGCATGTTGCTTCTCTGCCATGTTGATTATTGTTGACAAGATTCCAAGTCGAGGCGAAATCAGGGAGATGACAAGCAAGATGAGGAGGTATGCAAGAGTAAGAAATGATCGTCCTGGAGTTGACAAGGAGTAGACTTTTTATCTTCGTCTCGCCTCCTGAAGAGCCTGTGGGTATCTGGGGAAGCCAAGAGTTGGCGCCTGGGGATGCCCCCTTACCCCGCAACTTGTTTTGCGGGGGAAGGGATCTAGATTCCCAGGTCGGTAATATTTTACCGTGTCCAGCCGTGTTGGCGTCCCGTAGTCTCGGACTCTCGGGCTCTTACCCATCTTATCTGACATAGTTTAGAATACCCGGTTGTTAGTAGGTTCGATCTGAGTGCGCGATGCTAGGCTAGAACACAACCGAGTATACCTGTACCGCATATTGGCTATCTCCATGGTCTGGGGTATGGTAGTTCATTCTTGCCACGAAAAGCCGTAGTACACGGTTAGCCCAGTGCCGAGGGACCCAACGTGCAAAGCACGGCTTCGCCATGGCATACACATAGTCAAGATTGCTGCCAACTACACGAGGCCCGTCGTTATCATATTGAATGTGTCCGGCGGAATGATCCGGGACTTATCTCCAGGGGCTTACTACGTGTCGGCATCTAAGCATTACACCGATGGACGATACGTGACCTTTAGAGCTTGCTGTCCGTCCATCTCGGCGCTCTCTTCTCTCTAAATGCGTCTAATCCTTCCTGCATGTTGGGTCCTTCGTAGATCCGGTTACTCCAACCGTCCAGAAAAATGCGGCTCGAATCCTTAACCCCAAGACCATCCCAGCCAAGTTTCAAGCCTTCTCGGGTCACTATGACGGCATCTGGGCTATTGTCAGAGATCATCTTGGCATACTCCAGTGCCTTATCCACAACACTCTCTCCTTCCTCTACGACAAGATTGCAGATGCCCCAGTCCATAAACTCCTGTGCGCTCGCGACTCGCCCCGTCAGAGCGAGTTCTGTTGCCCGCTGACGACCTGCCGTCTGCATGATTCGGGGCAGGGCGCCTCCAAATGGGGTCACACCGCGCTTCACCTCGGGCAGAGCAAAGGTTGCAGAGGATGAGGCGATGATCATGTCGCAGTTGGCAATCATTTCGCAGCCTCCCCCGTACGCTGCCCCATTCACCGCAGCAATGACGGGCTTTTTACCGCTCCTAAAGGACAAGCCTCCGAATCCATTCTCAGGAAGCCTCATGCGTATTCCTTTCTTGTTGTTTTCTGTCCATTCTGGTATGGGAAATAGTTAGTTTACCTCCGGGAGTCACTTCAGAACTTGCTTCACGGACCTTTGAGATCTGCTCCAGTGCAGAACGCTTTGCCTACCCCACTGATAATGGCCACGCGGCAACTCAGGTCCTCATCGAACCATTTGAACACGGAATCCAGCTCATAGCTCGCCTCTAGAGATAGACTGTTGAGGGTACGTGGTCTGTTGATAAGCACCAGCAATATGCCAGGAGCAGGAAAGGAGAGGATACAGTGTTTGGTGGCTGGTAGAGTCATTGTTGGTATGAATGGAACCAACTTGGTTCAGAAAAGAAAAAGGTATCTTTCCTATTCATAAAAATAGCAGGAGGCCCTTTCAAAATACCGATGTGAATGTGAACGCTGGGTGCAAAACACGGGCCGGGATTTCCGGGTGCCGACAACCCTCGGCGATCTGCCGGAACCTGGACCGGTGTTTGATAGCCGCATTCTCCGATAGAGACGGATCACGGGTATCGCAACTCGGGACTGAAAAATACTTAGAGAGGCTGATGATTTTGATGATGATGTCTGATTTCGTCACTCAGACTTCGTATCAACACAGTTTTACCAGCACCATGGATGTCCCACCTACCCAGCGACCTCACGGCGGTTTGTCTCTTGTCCGGGGCCCTCACACACCAGAGCTGTTTCAGTTGACATTCGGCCAACTTGTTGATCAGCAAGCTGCTCGATACGGCTCTAAAGATGCGGTGCTGGTCGGCTGGACCAACGCTCGACTGAGCTTCCAGGACGTGAGTCTTCGAACCAAGGAACTGGCGCGTGGTCTGTTGGCCATGGGCGTCGGCAAAGGTGACCGGATCGCCATTCTCTCTGGGGATGATGAAAGGGTCATTGAGCTCTTCTTCGCCGCTGGCAGGATTGGCGCAGTTCTGGTGGTTCTCAACAAGACGTACACCGTGAAAGAGTGCATGCGAGCACTTGAGCACACAGGTGGGTCGCTCTAACAAAATAATGAGGCTATTACTGACCGGGGCTCCAAAAATCCAGATCCATCGATATTATTCCTTGCCGATGTCGTTAATCGACGATCAACTCTTCCTATCCTCGACCAACTACAAACCTTTCAACGCAGCCTTCGACAGGTAGTCCTGGTTCGATGGGATGAGGTTCCGATCCGATCAGAAATAACCTGGGACCACGTACTACAAGGTGCAATCAACGTGTCCACGGAAAGGCTCGAAGAAGTCCAGGCGTCGGTTGATATCAACTCTGTTGTCAATTTCCAGTTCACAAGCGGGACGACCGGGTCACCTAAAGCTACCATGCTTAGCCACTTGTAGGGTTGGACAAAGAGGCATCGAGAGCAAGCGGCTAATCCTCTTTAGCAACGTCATCAATAACGGGTTCATGATCGGAGAATATCTTCAGTTAACCCACGACGATGTTCTCTGCTGCGCCCCACCTCTCTTCCATTGCTTCGGACTCGTCGCTGGTTTGATGGCGACTTTCACTCACGGAGCTGCCATCGGGTTTGCTGGGCGAGACTTTGACCCTGCTCAAGTCGTGGATCTACTGGTGAGGGAGCGGTGCACTGCCCTGCACGGAGTTCCAACCATGTACATCGCCATCTTGAAGCACTTGGACAAGATTGGAGTCACGATCGATACGATTAGAACAGGTATTGCTGCTGGAACCAAGGTTCCTCCTGCCCTGATCAGTGAGATCCAGGAGCGACTGGGATATCAGTTCGTTGGTAACACCTATGGTACGTTGCGACGCTCCACTCAGTTACTAGAGATCTAACCATCCGGTATAGGCATGACCGAAACATCGCCAGCGAGTTTCATGACTTCTGTAACCGACACCCTAGACCAACAACTCTACACTGTAGGCAGAGTCATGCCTCATGTAACAGCCAAGGTTGTCGACCAGGAGAACCGGATCCTGCCCGTTGGTGCGCGTGGCGAATTATGCGTCTCGGGCTATCTTCTGCAACAGGGGTATTACAACAATCCAGGCAAGACGGCAGAGGTCATGATCAGAGATGAGAATGGAGTGTTGTGGATGCACACGGGCGACGAGGCAACGATTGACGAGCATGGCTACTGCCGCATTACTGGCCGCATCAAGGACATTATCATCCGAGGTGAGTTTGACTCGGGCGGCTTCGGTTCCAATACTCTCGGGCTCTAACGTGAACATTCTTAGGTGGTGAGAACATCTACCCGCTAGAAATCGAGGAACACATTCTGAGCCACCCAACGATAAGCAACGTCAGTGTAGTGGGTCTGAAAGACGAACGGTACGGCGAGGCTGTGGCCGCCTTCATGCAGATACGTCCCGGCCACGACAAACCATCACACGAAGCCATCAGGGGCTGGGTCCACGACGAACTCGGAAGACACAAGGCTCCGCAGCATACGTTCTGGCTTGGGCCGGGAGAGATGATCACGGAATATCCAGTGACAGGGAGCGGCAAGATCAGGAAAGAAGTTCTTCGGGAGCTTGGCAATCGGATTCTAGAGCAGAGCGAAGCCAGGCCTATAGCCAAGCTGTGAGTCAATAGAGATGGCAAGGTACGCGCAGCATTTTCTTCTTTTCCCTTGCATAAGATAGAAATAGATATAATGTCCTGTCCAGCCGGGTTAGTCCTGCCGAAGCCTAGCTTTCCGACATCCGCGTTAAATCCAGTTCGGCCTCATTCATAACCACCAACCAAGCGACCTCGATCTACTCTGCTGGCACCGGTTCAAGGGTGTCGTCCTGAGCAGAGATTTCCAGGTCAGGGAAGAGATTCTTGTTTTCCAGGACCGGCAGATTGCTAAAGATCCCAAGTCCCTCAGCAAACGTGTCAAAGTCAGCAAAGTCGAAGAGCTTGCTCCGCGGTGTGAACAGGTCCATCCCGGTCGGCGCTTGGCCGTTGGTGGGACTTCCAGGCCGTGTCGGAGCCGAAAGCAGGGCATAGTCGACGCTCTGCCACAATGCTTTGACATCGCCAGGCGAGTGCCCGGACTTGTCGGCACATGGATTCATGTCTGTTCGGCGGTTCTCACATTGTTGTCGAAAGCGCTCCAATCGATTTGCCTATGTCATCCAAGTTAGTAAGATCCCTTCACTAATGTAAAAGACCCAAAACTCACCATTAAAGCTGCGTGCTTCCAATAGCAAGAAAGATCGTTTAGGAAATCCAGCGCAGAGTTGTAGTACTCTTGTCCTTGCTCGCGGATTGACTGGTTGTCGTCATTCATTGAGAGGACATGAATCGTTCCCGCCACCATAGTGCAGTAGCCATAGAGAGATGTCAAGACAAGGACGTTATGGTGTTTCGTGTCTTTCAGCTCTATCAACCTCTGGGCATGTGCTCTGCAGTTTTTCCATGCTGTGTTTATGAATATCGGGGGAGCTCTCTGTCTTAGCTTTTCCAACCGCTGCTGTATCAAGAACGGATGGTGTAGAAGGCAATGTGAGAGGTGGAAGAGTGCCTTGGAATAGATAAAAGGGCCAGCAAGGTGTTGATCAATGGACCCATCTACATAGCACCTATCCCTCAGGGTTTTCTTCGGGTCCTCATTCATCCCGAAGCAGATCTCTAACTGAAGTAGAGTGGATGATATAGAGGCATAGGGGGAGGTCGAGGACCAAGGGAGCCCCAGTTGGGAATCACGGTTCTCTTGGAGGACGTAGTATGACACCCGACTCAAGATCGATGCCATGACTGCAATCAGAGCAAGAGGGCAACAAGTGTCGGCAGACTCTTGGTCTAGGCAGTCGCCTGTGAATTGCTGTAGAGTCGGTGCTTCTTCGTGGAGACCTTCCCGGAAGGCTGCTTCTGAGCAGGGCAACTGTATCCTACACTCTTCATCTCTCAAGATGGAGAACCGTTCTCTTGATAGAGATATCAACTTGTCTTGGAGATATATCGACCAGAACGTTCTCTTGCGCTCTTCTCGAAAGATGGGATCAAGGGTACTCTCGGGCTCCAAGTGAAGCTTTGAATGCAAGACCAGGCGTATTGCGAAGCCAAGCTTCATGTAAGCTGAGGCGCACAAGCCAGCTTCATACCATGTTAGCTGAGTAAGTACATCAAGGCAGGCCAAGCAACTCACAGGGATGCTCGACATTGACGATTAGGATGATGGCTTGCAAGATAGGAACAACCTCTTCATCCGACACACCGCCATTCCATGGCAGTTTCATACATTCCCAAGCCTTTTTGGCATAGAATTGAGCGTCATCAGGGTCGTTGAGCGGAAGATTAGGAAGCGATGAGTATCGACGGGCTGCCGCTAGCAAAGCCCACACGAGATGTGAGGGCAGCTCCCCACAAACCAGCCTCTGTCGAAATGTTGCTTCGTGAAATAATGAGTATGGTTGGTTATGGCAAAATCGGAAAAAGACGTCAGCGGCGAATAGAAGCGTCTCGATTGGTGGGAATGTGTCATCCAGTTGAGGATTTGGCATCGATGTGGTCATGCTGTCCGCGCTTTCCGCGGGGTTCGGTCGGTGGTGGTAAGGATGCTCTATTCGGGTGGGGGACTGGTTCATGAGATTCATGATATGTGTCTGGGGGGCTGATAACGACGACAAGAGAGGTTCCAGTCTGAAATCGGGCGATGGCCTTGATTAGTAACTACATAACTTGTCTTTTGAGATCAAGAGGCGAGCTCACCTTTGGAGAGTGTTCTCTATCCTAGAGAGCCGATCTTCAAGACCCATGAACTTGGACGAGATTGTGGACTGCAGCCTTGATGAGCTCGACTATTCTGGATGACTTCCGGAGAAATTCGGTATTACCACAATTAGATCCGACGCTTCGTCGCTCATTCCATTTAATGAGAAAGATGTCCGCCTTTGGCTTCGCCCATCTTCCACATAGCGGCAGACCTGCGATAGTCGGCTGCAGCACATGCATACAGGCTTTTCGCCTCCACAGCGAACTTTTTTCTTCCTAGGGGGCCAATCAGTAGCCATCACTCAAGTCAAGAAATGTTCTCCTGTTCCCTCATCCTGCCAAATAATTAAGCAGGCAGTGTCCCAACACGGAGAAATGGCCCATACCTGCAATTAAGACAAGCTTGTCTGATGCGTTTGCGGCGGTGTTCGCCATCAGAGTCATCGGCAATATCAGACATGGTTTCAGAATGAGATGGTTATGAGGACGGCCAAATGATGTCGAGAGCAGATGCAAGGAGAAACCGGCCTCGGAGTCTGGCCATGACACGGTGGTTCGGCCCCTCTTCGCTCCGTGGTTTGCGGGGAAGACAGGCCAAGTTCGCTAGCTTGGAGGCGCTAAACATGCCAGGGGCTTGGCGTGCGGGGAGAGTCAGATTCCTGGGGAAGCATGGACGATTAGCTCACATCGGTCAATGGGGTGATCGGGTCGACTTCCCACACTTACCCCCCTTTTGCTCCTGTCAGGCCGGAAACCAATATTATCCAGCAAGGGTAACTCGGGCAAATAACCCTTTTAGTAACTACCTCGGGTAACCCTTTCCACCCAGAGTCACCCAGCAAGGTGTAGGGTAGGCATTCGCGTGTTGACACCGACACCACATCTTGCAGAGGCTAGAGGATTAATAAAACGGAATCAAGTTTATATGAGTCTTAAATAAGCTCTATAAACATGGCGAACCGGCGGTGGACAGAGGCTTGCCTTGTGGGGTATTGGTCTCCGCATAACCGTCCCCCCGCCAAAAGAAAGGAAGGGAGAGAAAGATATCATCTCTTCAAAAGGGGCCCGGGCACAATTACTTGTCTATAGAGGAATAGCCCGAGTCAGGCTGCCATATTCCCCTCAAGGAATTAGAGTTGGGCAATGACTTAGAGTTGGGTTTGCCAAGAAACCCAGGAGTCTGGGGCACCTCGTCTATCCACATATAGCCTTCTCGGCCCCCTTCAGAAGGGAGAACCTGCCCGCCAGCCGCGCATCGGTCATCGTCCAGCTTGGCAGCTGCCATGTCAACTGTGGTCGCGATACGAATAGAATACGAGGGTCCTAGTGAGGCCCCAATGCTCTGAAAGGCTTCGAGAATAGGGATGACATAACCCCCACCAAAGGAATCTGCGGCGACGACGTAGCCATATACCTCGAGGGTAGTCTCATTGACCACCCACGACCCCGAATCGCCATCCTGGATTTCTGTTCGAATATCAGTTCAATTCCCTAGTCATGTGGGTAGGAGGGTCATGTCATACGCTGATCGTCGTCGAGATTGAGGATAAGAGTGTCCACAAATGCGTTTCCGGGACCGAGAAGCAGTCTAGAAGGCAAAGGCGATAGAGACCCGCGTTTCAACCCTCCTGATCCACTTAGTAGAGTGACCGACTGTCTCTTTCCAGTGCTGCAAGGTGGCGTGACCGGCATTAAGAGATCCCCGGACCTGATATCCTCACCCTGAATCTCACCGTTGGACAGTCTTCTTGGCCGGATCCGGTTTGGTTTGTGTTTCGTCATATCGATCAATGCCCAGTCGTAGTAGCCCCCGGCATCATCTCTTATCATGTTAGACGTGGCTATTTGAGCCAGAGAGTCCTTGGCAATGCACCCGATCCTGCGCAACATGGAAGGTGCCCAAGACGCAAAGGGGCGATGACTGTCGTCTGAAGCCAGGTGGAAATTGTCCATGGCGTGCAAGAACTCAGTCTTCTCGGGATCTGATTCGACGACCTCATCTGGCTCGCCCTCGCTTTCAGAGTCTGAAACTTGAAGGCCCCAGTCGTCTGACGTAAGGTCATCATCCGAGTCGTCCAACAGAACGTGGCCGACGGTTAGGCCGTATAGCCTTCCTATTCCATCCATCGAAACAGCACTGATGATGCCACCAAACGTACACGCGCGAACCTCCGATGAGTCACCCTGGATAAGGATCGGTGCGCCGCAGTACGTGTCGTCTGTATACCCCTCGTGGCCCCCAACAATGGGGATCAAGATGTCAACATCCTCGTCTCTGTGCTTGGTCTCCAAGGACCGACCGCGGACAAACACGTCGAATGAAGGCACGGCATCATCTTCGGGTCGGCACAAAGCCGCAACGGAACTCTTGTCGAAAAACTTTCTGACCCTTTTGCACTGTTCTTCGGGGCAGAAGGCCACGATGCACGGCTTTGCATCATACTCGTTCCGTCCTAAGATCATTAATCGCAGGGCAATCGGTCCGTACTTTTTCCGAGGAAGTTTACGGTGAATATAAGCTAGCAGTGGTTTCTCAATCTGAGTGTGGATGTGGGCAAAGCGAGAAACGGTATGGTCGTCAACAGACTTGTCGAATTCGGCGAGGTCGGCTCGATCGGCGAGATTGGTCAGCCCAAACAGCCTAGACAGCCCAAACGGCTCTGGACGAGGCTTGTTCTCAACGGCGGGAGATTTGGGTAGAAACGGCTCGGGGCGAGGCTTGCTCTCAACGGCGGGAGATTTGGGTGGAAACGGCTCGGGTGACTTGCTATTGAGCGATGTAGATTGGGTAACGTATCCCGAATCTGGCTCTTGGGCTCTCTCGACGTCAACATACGACGGCCCCGGCGACTGACACCTAATTGCAGGAGCAGCATCCATCATGATACCCATGAGAGTGGCATCAACTGGACAATGGCAGAAAGATGAAAGGGAAGAGACCTCGCAAAGAGAGGAGAAAATTTTCAACCTCCCTACAAGCCACAGTCCACGCATCGCAACCTCATAGGTTGTTCGAAACATGAGGGAGGGTTGGCTGTGGCTGCCAAGCTGCCGCAGCAACAATGCACTGCCATTCATCACAAATGCACTGCCACACCACCAGGCTCTCGTTCTGCACTTTCCCAGGTGCGATAAATGCGTTATCAAGCCGGGACGCAACGCAGGTGTGGGTGAGATCAAGACATTGACTTCCCTTTGGCCTCGTTATGACTGACTCTTTGGTATCCCCCTATCCACTCTAGCGTGTGACCGATGTCGAGCTGTAGAAGCTCACTGAGTCCCTCTGGAGCTGGGATATATGCGAGGCCTGCAAGAAAGCCGAGAATTGTATAACCACCGGATGTTCATGGAGGCGCGCACCCCGGCTGAAGTGGTTCTTTGACTTTTATAAAGATGCCACATCGTTTTATATCCCGGAGCTACTTCTAGGAAGCGCCCTAGCACTTCGTAACCACTAAGACGTTTTCGATATTATCCGATTGTTCCGAGCATATCCAAACACGGAGCGTTCATAATTGACTGAGCAGTGCTTCTCTAAGCGCGATAAACCACCCCCGCCCACCGACCAGCATCGAGCCTTTAACCTCGCAGTGAGGATTATGTCGATGGTTAAGTGCTTAGCCGACAACTAGCCATCCGGTCTGCTAGAGCTTAGAACATAGCTAATTCAGTGGCATTCATATAATTCTCTGGCGGAATTTATATCCAAGGCCTTCCCCCAAGCGGACAAGGGAAATCTCCAAGTGTAAGACGATTCGGGCAAGATAAAAGACCTTAAATCGATTGTGACGGCTAGGAGACTTAAGAAGGTTGTATGTTTGAGGTTTTAAGGAACTAATGACCTACGGAATCACTTGAAGATAGATATTAAAGAGGGAGTTGTGGAGGTCTTCTACTGCACGAGCGTCCTGAAGGAGCATTTGACTGTGCACCTGGATGTTCAAGGCTCTAGTCCCGCGTAAGATACCTCCCCTTCGACAATAGACCAAATACTCGTATTGACCGCTTTAATACTAGATGGAATATTCTAAGGTAGGTCGCACTTGAAGTTTTAGATTCCTTGTAGAACGTTCTCTTTCCCCTTGACTCTGGCTCTGAATAGATTCTGCGTGGACTGGTATCGAAGCAAACCTTTGACCTAGACTGCCTAGACTACGACGCTGCCGCTTATAGGGGAGAGGCTAAGGGTGACCTTTCTTATAGCTACTTCGGGAATCGCCTGGTTTACTTGTTTGAGGAGCTGGAAGATCCCAGTCCACGTGGTATCCTCGAGATATGGTTCTAGCGTAAGAGCGGTGCCCGGTATGTGATGAAGGCTACCCTAATTGGTATTATTATTACAATTGTTTTGGGAATTCTTGGTCTTATTGTTGGGACTTTTTAGGCCTGGGTGGCATATGAAGCTTGGAAACATCCTATAAATAACGAGGGGTGAACTGGTAGCCCTGGCTTTGTTCACACTCTATTATATAGCTATGAAAGAGATCTTTTAACGAGTGCATATAGTAGCTCCTAAAAGAATCTGAATAGATCTAAATTTGGCAACGCCTTTATTGGGCTGGTCTGGGCGATATTTCCTGTGCGTGGGAATTAAGCCATGGCTACATTCGCCCGTTGTCCAGACTCAGCCACATACTGACTTTGCAGCCCAGGGCTGCGAATAATATAGCGGCAGGACCAATAGAAACGTCAAACGCACACTTTCTGCCTTCCTTGTGTAACTATACAACCGGAAGTATTGGCTAAGCTAAGGTTTGATCGCCAGTCAGCTCAGACACTGCAGTCGATGGCGGCTTAGCTCATGCAGAGTGGGAGGGAGATCCAGGACCAACCGCCATCATCCACCTGGTCAGACTGTTGCGCAAGCCACTGCCAGGAAACCCCCCCCCCCCCCCCCCCCCCCTGCTCCGAGCCTGATTTCTTCATCTCAAATTTTGTCCTCTGCCGTTGCCTTCCTTGTCACTTCTTCTTTATTTTATCCCTCGCCAACAATGGCTAGTTTAAGTGGCTTCGAGCTAGCCAGTCTCGAGTCCCTAGACCTCGGTCACGAGCCATGTCAGGTTTGTTTAGTACTGCCTCGTCATGCCTAGCTGACCAGGACTTTGAAGGCCTGCATGACACGAGAAGACGCCAGCCTGGTGCGGCCAGCAACCAAGACCTCTGGAACACGAACAAGTCCAAAACAGGATCAGCGAGCTTTCACGCACTCTATGCAGTATATCCCCCTCAGGGATGTCACTTCAACATGCCCCTCTGATGTACTGGCATCCTTTGATGGTGCAAGTCCTTCAAATGAAGCCAGCCAAAGTCGAAGATGGGACCTTGCGGGCCACTTTGCTCTCTTCCATCTTCCGGCGGTGGCAGTTACGGTTACGCTTCTCTGCCTATACGCTTCGGAATTCCACTGGCCTTATGGTCATCCTACTGCCGAGGAGCTCGCGGCCCTTCAATTTGCTGCAAAGGGGCACGAGGCTTTAATTCTCATCTCCTTGACGGATGTTTTACTATCCAAGATCTCCTACGGCCTTTTGAACAGCAATGTCGGTGTCCCGCTCGGTTTCATCTCTTCGCCCTTCTATCTGGGTTCTCCAATAAGATATCTTTTCAGCTCAGAACTGTGGTCCGCTATACGACACTCTGTCACGAGGCGAGTTTTTCCGAAAACGACGGGGCTTGTCATCCTCATCACCGCTTTGCTTTGTATTGCGGCGAATCCGTTGTCCGCCATCGCAATGATCCCACGTGAGATATGGCGAAGCTTCCCAAAAGCCGATCCTGGTCACTCATTGGAGATTGTGTGTTATGTCGATGAGAGACTTTACGAGTTGGATCTTGATTCTCAACATGTTCCCGAGCCTCACCATTCCACAAAGACCTCGACCTGCACAAATGCCAGATGCCCAGGTAGCAGGCGACAACTGCACTATCTATCCAACATCATGGACCCTTCTCAGTCCGATAGTCCGGGAAACCTCGCAAGGTATAAGCTACAGAACGTCACATACACGTATTACGACATATCGTCCACCTCTCGGCCTCTCTCACTCTCAATCATTGACCGTTCGGAAACCAAGTCCAATCTGATCGGTTATGACCCGCCCAATGGCGATTTTGCCGTTGCGACATGCCCCATGGCTTTCCTAGCGAACTATTTCGACTCAGGGGGTGGGATCAAGGATGTGAACTCAGATTGGCCTCAGTGGCTCGTAGAGACGAAACAAATGGATGTGAACGGCACGATACGCAAATGGAAACAGCCTCTTGTTCTTGTCAACTGCCATGCAGAACACCTCGAGGGAAATATTGTGTCGATGGATTTCGACTCCGAACTTTTGAACGAGACGGTCACCCTCGATACTGAACACAATGGCGATCTGAGGGAGCTAGTCAACGAGATTAGAAGGCCATCAGGTACTAGCGGATATCGCGTTTCAGCCTTCGGGACCAACACAAGTGCACCTATTAGCGGGAGCATCATCTTTGCCACACGTGGCACTGCCGTCGGAACCGAGGGCGAGGCTGCGGATGGCATTGATGTCAGTCTCTGCCTCATTTCCGCGCACTGGGTAGAGGCAGATGTCTGGATAGAGTCAATCACATCTGGTATCGTCCAGAGTCACTTGGAAACGTCCATTGAGGGGCTCCTTGATCATATTGGAGACTCTTCTACGAGTACACCCCTAATCAAAATGAGGAAGGGGTGGCTGGCCGGTATCGATACTCGCATAGACATGGCATCAGACTCGGCGTATCGACTCATGTTGAGTTACTGCCTCGAAGAGGGGTCCTCCTTTCCCTTCCTTCACGACTGTCTCTCCCTTGCCCTCGCTACTCACATCACTGACGCTTTGTCACAGCCCTCAAGTTTTGATGGTATGCCGATTGTTAATCTTGTCGAGATGCCATCAACTGGCGAGATCACAGTTATTGATCACTCATCTTGGGGGAAAGCATTCACTTATACCTTTAAGAACAGCCGCACTATTCCTCTAGCTTTTTCTGCCCTTTTGCTTCATGTTTCGATCGTTCTTGTACACCTCGCATTTGCTCTTCATTCTCAGTATCCATATTACAAGACGAGCTGGGGAACCTTTGGGGAGATGTTTATTCTTGCTCTGCGCTCGAGTCCAGAAGGGACAACAAGTGGCTCTAAGGCAGAAGTCGCGGTCTCTCAAATGTGGAGGGAAACAGCTACGGTACGCTCGATGGCTGGTGATGGACGGGTGCAGATTTTCCTGGGGGAGAGTAAAAAGGATGCCACACAACCTGAGGGGTCTGAGGGAGATGGCACAGGAGATAATTCTTCGAGACTCTAGATGGGTAAAGGATAGATACTTATAGTGAACCTCAACTAAGGAACGGGGACAGTGCTGAATAGGTACAAGGTTATGAGTGAACCGCACTCTAACTGTTGGGAATTTTGAGTGAACCTCGATTGAGGCGGAGTGAGTGCCACTAGTTCCCTTATGCGACTTTTTTGTCAATACAGACATCCTCCTTCCCATCGGTGGACAATTCTCTGGCCCCTTACAAAGGTATGGTACTTTTGGGCTGCAAATAGGGTAGGCATTGTCGGATTTCTTGTGAATGCGAATACGACATTACCCCTGAAGGCCATTGTTTGCACTAATAAAGGGGTCCTTTTGATTCGCCGACGAGAAACCCCGAGGATCTCGTACTGGGTTCAATTGGCAATCCCGATTGGTTTTCGGCTCTTAGGCAGTCTCGCTTCTGCAGGCAGGGTTGCAGGCAGGGGGCAACGTCTCTTCCGCCTCCGGGGCTTCTCCGCGATTGTCTTGAGTTTGTCGTCATTCTGGCTGGTTTGCCCATGAATTCGATTGAGAATCGATTCTGTGCTACTTTTCTAAAAACCATTCACTCAACGCAACCGCAGTAAAAAAAATTGTGATCACTCATTTGCTCGTTGATAATCTCAAATATCAACAGTGTGAGATAGCTGAACCTCATGAAGCAGCATGGAGCCTCACCTTGACACCATTCGCAACATAGTTGATTAATTTTAAGTTGTGTCTTACAACCGCGTCCTTCTCCAAGCTCTCCATCTTATCGAACCGCTGCAACAACCGTACTGTGACGTAACTTGCTCCGATGAGCGCAAATTACTAGCCGATGCAGATTCTCGGGCCTCCGTTAAACTGTTTGTGGTCCTTATGGCATTGAGGGCGATAGGGGGGGCGTTACCCACAGGCACGTATTCCCACCCAACTCTTCTCCCCTCCCACCGCTCCGGCTTGAATTCGTTCGCGTCGGGACCCCGGATGTCCTTCCTGCGATGAATGATATGCACGGAAAAAGCGGTCGAAGAGCCCTTGGGAATAAGGATGGGTGAGTTTCCATCCTTGCCTCCACCGCGGGGAAGTGTCGTATCCTTATTCGCGTAGCGAGCGTTGATGGGTTCGACAGGGTAGAGGCGCAGCGATTCGTCGTTGACGTACGTATGCGCCCCTAGATCCTCGAACCGCTTGATGATGTCCACAGGAAACTGCTGCCCCTCATCGGTAGCTAGTGCACGCAATAAACTGTCAATGCCGAGCGGCCATTAGTTCTTTTCAAGCGGAGGCTCTTCGCATTTCAGCTCTCGTGCCTTGGCCGCATGACGTCGGGAGATGATGAAGTTAGAGATGATGGCGTATAGGATGTACGACGTGACTACCTAGATCAGGGCTCCAAGGGCAAGGGAGATTTGCATCCTTGTGTTGTCAAGTTCTAAAGGTGTCCTTTGTGAACTCACAGGTGGTGCATCGCCTGTATCAAGACGCCGCACCGAGAGAGCAAGGGGGGTTCAAAAGCAGTAATAGCGTCAAGGCACAGCCAACACTAAAGGCAGCGACCAACAGTAGCACGCCCAAGGCACAAAAGACCCGAGTCACAGCCAACAAGCAAACCCCCCGAGTGGCACCTGTAACCCTCCGAACGGCACCTCTAGTTAGTCCAATGCATATTAAAGTCGGGTCCCCTCCCAACCCTCAAGTTTCACAACGTGCAATCCTTCGCACCATCTTTCGCCCTCTATCTACATTCCGACCTCAGATTCAGTCCCGCAGAAATTATCGAGCTTGCAAGATGACGTACCCCCAGAATGTCGGCATCAAGGCCATCGAGATTTACGTCCCGCCACAGGTAAAGCCACTCCTTTGTTCTCCCCCGCAAGGTATGAGCTTGGGGCTGACGAGAACAGTGCCTGGATCAAACACTCTTTGAGAAACACCAAGGTGTATCGGCGGGCAAGTACACCATTGGACTGGGCCTTCAGTACATGAACTTTTGTACGGACCGAGAGGGTAAGTTCCATACCGTATGCCTAATCAGTAATTCTCTACTGACCTTGGTGTAGATGTCTGCTCTCTGGCCCTGACCGCCGTCTCCTCCCTTCTCCGCAAGTTCGACATCGACCCCAAGTCCATTGGACGTCTTGAAGTGGGCACCGAGTCACCCATTGACAAAGCCAAGTCTGTTAAATCGGTCCTCACGACACTCTTTGAGCCACACGGCAACACAAGCCTCGAGGGTATCGACACCATTCACGCCTGCTACGGTGGTACAAGCGCCCTCTTCAACGCCGTCAATTGGGTCGAGTCTCGCTCGTGGGATGGTCGAGATGCCATCGTGGTGGCGTCAGACATTGCACTCTACAAAGAAGATGCGTCTCGTCCAACTGGTGGCGCTGGCTGTGTCGCCATGCTGATCGGTCCGAATGCGCTGCTCTCCCTTGAACCGAGCTTGCGGGGCGTATACATGACCAACACGTTTGACTTCTATAAGCCTGATATGAAGGTTGAGTTCCCAATCGTCAACGGCCACGAATCCATCGCTTGTTATCTTGGTGCTCTGGATGAATGCCACAAGGACCTGCTCCGTCGCACTGGGGCTGTCAGTAAACAGCTTAATGGCGATGCACCAAAGACTGGAAAGAAGGTTCTTGACCTTTTCGATTATATGGCCTTCCATACTCCCAACTGCAAGCTGGTTAGCAAGTCGTACGGTCGACTCATGTACAATGACTGTTTGAACTCGACTAATCCGGCTGACTGGGAGGGAGTCCCTGAGGACCTTCGGAACCTGAGCTACAAGAGTTCCCTCAAGGATAAGACGCTAGAGAGAGCACTTGTTGCTGCCACAAAGATTGCGTTCAAGAAGCGAGTTGAGCCATGCATTGCCGCGCCCTCTTTGTGCGGAAACATGTACACCGCCAGCCTGTACTGTTCTCTCATCAGCTTGATTAGCAATATTGATCTGGCATCCGCAGAAGGAAAGATTCTCGGACTGTTTAGTGTAAGTGGACGAGCTCCCCTTGTTTTCCGGAGTGAGACTGACTCCATTGGACGGACAGTATGGAAGTGGCGCTGCTAGCACCCTCTTTGGCATGAGAGTCACTGGTGATCTCTCAAACATGGTTCAGAAGATTGATCTCATGAACCGTCTGAAGCAAAGAGCTATCCAGACCCCCGAGGATTACGAGAAGGTGAGCCCTAAATGATGTAGTTGTTCTACTGAGACTGACTTAAACCCACTAGGCCTGCGCTCTCCGACTCAAAGCATACGGAAACAAAAGCTACAAGCCTCTTGGGGATGTTGGCTCTCTGGCGCCTGGAACATACTATCTTGAGAGCATTGATGAGGTATACCGTAGAACCTATGCTATCAAGGGCCAGTGAACAATGGGGCAGGTGGCTTACCAGCGGCAGAGCCAGCGTCTGAAGCACCCCTCATGGCAGGATAAGTAAGCCAAGGCCAGGTTTAATCTATAGATAAATAGAGAAAAGTGCCTTTGCCAGCCCTCAGTTTTACTTCAACATTCGAATTTTTCACTATACTGGTGGATGGGGCTCTAGTGTGTGGCGTCTCAATGTTTGGTCTTGGCTCCTCCCACTGCCAAAGCTTGCTCGCGGGTCGATATGAACGGTAGTAGACACTAATCAAACGTGATTTCTTTCCCAAAACTGTTTCATATATCCTTTCAGCCCCGAGATGGCTTTCGGTCCAGCCCAGCGTTGGCTTGTGGGTGACAACCTACCCATTCTTGTCCAGAAGTCATCTACCAATGTTGTTGTAGATAGACGCGATCTAGACCAAGCTACTGGCGTTACTATTAAATATTCAATTCACCATTGCCACCTAGCTGCATAAATCAATAAGTTGTAATAAAATCTATCTCGATTGCTGTGTCCTTGTAATATGTACTCCGTCGATAATGAGCTGATTCATAATATCGCAACGCTAAACCAGTCTAATAGGCCAATTCGAAATTTCCAAAGTCTATAATACATCTTCGTTTATTAAACAAACGCGTCTTAGAATTTATGTCTTCCCCTACTGCCGGTTACCCTCAGGCAACATGGCATACGCCTCCTCAACCTGCCCGTCCTTGCGGTCTCTTGTCTTGACACCCAGGAATGGGAAACAAGTGCATGGGTGCAGGATCGTGACGGCAGCAATGGCGATGAGAATCATGCCGCCGTCGAGGACAAGGAATAGGGCCTCGTTTCGCATGACATCGTGGGAAATCTCGGGGATCGTCTCGGCGATACTAGATTCTCAAGTTAGCTTTGAAGATGCGGAGAGGGTATATAGTGCTTACCGGTAGCCACATCGGATGATGATTGCAGTGTAAGCAACGCCGAGAGCGTAGATGAAGAATCGAGTTCGGGTTGCTTCCTTCTCAGTCGCTTCGATGCGCGACAGAGGAACCTTGCCTCGACCAGTGGTATCAAAGGCTGTACCAGGTAGGTTTGTGGTAGAGTGAATAGCCTGAACACCGCTCCTGAGGGCTTTCTTGCGTCGGCTCGAGTACATCAACATGAGTCCTGCGCAGCACAGCATGTTGGCGACCTGGAAAGCCACACCGCCAATGACGAGCGCTTCTCCAAGTTTCTGCGTCGTTTCAGATCCATTGCCGGTACTATTCAGTGCAACAAGGCCGCCTCCGATGATTTGAATGAAGATGGAGAGAAAGTCGGTTCCGACAAAGACCCAGGGGTAGAGCTTTGGTCGGAGCAGTGACCATTGAGCTCCGTACCAGATGACCAGGTGCTTGAAAGTGACTGAGATAGCAGCAGCGACAAGTGTGGGGGCGAGAAGGAGTGTGATGTACTGGACGATGAAGGAGTTGAGTCGCCATGGGTTTCTCGAGAGAGCGTATCGTCCTGCGTAACCAAGAATTTCGAGGAGAGTGCCGAGTGCCAGCCAGATCATGTACGACCATGTCTTTGCGCGGATTCCAAGAAAGATCTGGACGATGAAGAGGAGTGAGAAAACTGCCCAGAAGAAGATGGCGGCTGCTGATGATAGGTCAGCGCCGTAGATTGTGAATTCGACTTTGCATCGGTCGGAGAGTTCGTCGCAGTTGTCGTACGTCGGGGGATAAAGCGTATCGTTTGCCATGGTTGTAAGAGATTAGATAACAGGTGCTGTTGTTTAGTGCGACTCTTGTCGAGTTGTGTTGATGAGGAGTCTCTTGATGGGATTTATTCACAGCAAGTGGTTATTATAGGGAGAACCAAATGGCTATGCTCTGGGCACCGAAAGCAACTATTCACAGCACATATTACCAGCCCTCGCAGGACGCGTCAGAAGAATGCTGCGCCCCATGTCCCTTAAATTGAGAGGGCATAATCTCTGCACTCGTTTGTCCTTCTCGGGTGACACTCGCCTGTCGGGGTGTTTCACCGACCCGACAACCACCAACCAGCCCTCGGCTCGTCATGTAGATAAGCTTGAATCAGCCTCCACTTCATGCTTGGCATCCCCAAGGCTCGGGTCAACCGGAGATTTCACGAGCTCGAATATTTTACCCAATCCGTCGAGAGGCGGGGCGGGCCTTGATACGCATTACGAATTGTGCCTTACAGGGCGCGTAGGGTCGCTCAGCTGGGCATGGGCCGTGTGTGTGCCCCCCGGATCGACGCGTGGCGGAATATCTTCCGACGTTCCAAGTGGTTCTCGTCAAAGGGGATTTTCAAGGGAGATGGGCAGTGCACCACTTGGCAGGCCTCCGACAAGGGTGTGGTCGTCAGCATAGCCACTCAGAGCCAAGACTGTGACTTCATTCATGCAGTGAGAAATCCCTTATTTACTCATAAATGTTTCTGGTTGGAGAATGTACGGTTCGTCTGCATTCCTCATCTACACAGCCGCGCCAAAACATTGTGACGATCTCGTCTCTGTACAGATACGGGATAATACGAAATGTTTCAAGCGAAATGTGTCTTTGGCCTTGGCTGAGGCTCCCCATCCAAGATTGTGTCAACTTTTTCGTTGTAAAAACAGACCAAACCTGCAATTGCTGCGCTTTCATGAGTGGGAAGTCTGTAGTACCAAGCAAGATTCTTCATCTCTTGACCATCGACCACCACGTGATAGTACTCGGCTTCGCCCTTATATGGACACTTGGTTTTGAGGTCGCTCTTTCGAAGGACTGTTTGGTCAACTGCGCCGAGAGGGAGGTAGTACCGAGTAGGTAGTCCCGTCTCAAAGAGGTGCATGGATGATGACGCCTTGGCAACGGTTTTGCCATTGACTTGAACTTCGATAGGGCGCTGCGATGGGAGGATATCAACTCGTTTAAATGGATCTTTCGGATGAACGTAAATGGGGGCGTCTTCCTCCAGCCATTGGTCTGTACAGATATCAGTCTGCTTGCAGCATTCAATCCGTTGCCCAAGGATCGTACCAATACTTCCAAATTCGATCCTTAGCAGACCGGTCAAGGCGCCAAGCTTCTTGTCATTGTCGAACCGAAGAACGTTCTCAACCTTGACCTCCCCAAGGCCGTCGTGGGCGCTAACAATCAGCTCGGCCAATGAAGCAAGGCCTTTTCCCTCCACGCGGATCTCTTCTTTATCGGTGAGCTTGGAATTGATAAGATCTTTCTGCGGAACGTAAATCGCGGGATAAAAGTCATGTTCCCAGACATAAACGCCCTTGGTGGTATCGGTGATAACGGTGTGGTTGTGGATGGCACGCACTCTTCGGGCCGCCTCGAGGGTTCTTTTCGGGCCGTGCTCGACCAAACGTCGGCCAAGCTCGATTATTCCTTGCTTGCGCTGCATTTTGAGACTGTGTACTTATTTGTATGAAGGCGAGCCGTCTCCGAGTTGGCAGTTCTTGAAGGGTGAGCGATGGTGATGCTCGTTGATATGCTTTTGTACCCCGCTTCAAGTGACGTGGGTGATTGACCGAGCCAGCCTTACGTTTGTAATCATTGCTTTATAATCATTCCCGGCATCTTAGGTCTCACTCCGAGTTCCTCACGTTGAGCACAGCCGTCGCTTTGGAATCATAGTAGAGTCGTGAGTACCGCCCGGTACGGCCACGTCCAAGTTCCGGCTAGTGGAGCAGATATTTCGGCCTCATTCATCGTTTTGTTAGTTTTCTTCCAGACTTTACCCTTGAGGGGCCGGCTTTATGATTGTAAGTAGCTTCTCAACTTTGTAGAGATTCCTCAGCGTCGTAGCCTCGCTGCCAGCACATCGTCTTCAAGATTGATCATGCCTTCTAAAAACACCAAAAGACCATTCTTGTTGACAGGTCCTCGAAAATCCTTTCGCTCCTGTCCACAAATTCATTCCAGTCCTGGATGCCCAGCCACTGAGATTCATTTCAGTTCATCCCAGCTCCGCCGTAGCAAACCCTTGTTGTGTTTCCCCCAATGTCGCCGATTTTCCCTGCTCTCCTCTTTCGTGCTGTTTCGGCAATGATAGCCTGACAAGCTACCTCTGTCTCATGAGGCGGAGTCGACTGAAGACTCGTTCTTCATTCCGGAATCTTTTGTCGCAGTGAACAACGCAATGCCATTTTCCGCAAGCCTTTTTGTCAGAGATGCCACGCCGTAAGCCCCAAGCTTCGTCATATCTCCAATCGTGCGGTAGTACTCGAGCTGCAGGGTGAAGTGTTCGTGGGAGACTTCCAGATGTCTGACTCTTTCTTGGTCTTTGCGAAGCAGGCTCTTGAGTCTCTCCCACTCCTGACACTTGGCAGTATAGGCCTCTTCCATGCCCCGAAGATCGGCCTCAGCATGAGCAATGCCCTCATCGCATTCACGCAGTCTCGTTTCATACTGTTCTGCCACCTGAGAAGCGAGGAGGGCGTCCAAGGCCAACTCGGCCTGGTGTCGTTCGAAGAACGTCTTTGCTCTCTGTATGTCCCTTTTGGCTTCAATCGTATTCCCAAACGCCCAGCGAAGTTCCTCAAGCCTTTGTGTGGTTACCCCGTCCTGGGCCAACTCGTTCAGCGATGTGTCTCGTGCTCTCATCGAAAATCGTGCGGCATTCAGCTGGTCTTTGATCCCATTTAGAGTCATTCGCGTTGCGGCTCTCTGGTCCTCGATCGTACTGACGATGTTTGACAGGAACGGTGCAAGTGGCTTCTCACTATGGACACGTTGAACATGTCAATGTCAGCCACTTACTCGGTCACTGGGAACTGGACCTGGCCTACCAAATCAATCAGGCCTTCAGTCTGTGGCATTGTTTGAGCAGGGCCATCAAGAGCTGGCCCCCCATGGTGTTCGGGCTCATCTCTTCGAGCACTCTTTCTGGTCTGAGAATTGTCGAATGCTTCACCAGGGCGTTTCCGATTCCCAGCAGTTACCGGCGAAGTGGAACCAGCAGCATCAACTTCATTCTGCGTTTCACCTTGTTGATTGTCGTTCCCTCCAGTGAACCCATTGTTTGCGTTCTTGTGGTCTTCAGATCTGCCTTCCTCTCCGTTAACCTCACTGTCATTTGGGGCCTCCGTAGTTCGTTTCGCATTTCTCTTCACACCAAAATGTTCCATAGCTTTGCGCACGTCACCGGGGATCAGGTGCGGATCACTCTGGTCCCGCTCACGAGCCCTATTTCGGAGGAACTCTCTGAGGGTTTCCGCGTTGCTGTCGCTGTTGGCTTCGGTCGACCTTCTGTCCAGCTCATCAAGAGTTCGGGCGATCTCTTCGAGCATACAATAACCCCATGGTTTATTGGGCAAAAAGTCGGCTGCCCACTCCCATGGCCATTCGTCTGTGGAGTCGAAAATTCGCCGAGAGGCTCGAACATATCGTCTGCGATACCCAGTTCCTTGAGGGTAGTGACCGAGAGCTGTCAAAATCTCGCGCTCATACGGCGTAGGTGCTTGACCGACCCGAGATGCAACGGATGCGGCAGCGGCAGAGGTCGTGGGAATGTCCATGGCGACGGTCAGAAGGGCAAGCTGACGTGGAAGAAACAAAGATCCTCGGCCTCTAGAAGCTCTTGGGGAGCTGAAAAGATGGTTGATTAAGATTAATGGAGCTCAAGATGAAAATCTGCGTTGGTGTTCGTGATTAGGTCGTTTAAGCTTGGGGTGTTGAGCTAATAACAGTGAATGACCCGCCATAGCAACAAGCAGTCGCATACAGGAGAACCAATTTGCAGAGAGCGGGGTTTTATTGAGGAGGTTAGGAGTTCTGGGTGCCGTAGCTAAAAATATTCCCGTAAAACAATCCAGCAGCTCATAGGTTGATATGCCTTTGCGGAATCCTGCTCCAGACAAACCATGTCTCATGGCGATATATCATGCACGATACATGAATACTATACATCACTAACGTCACTCAATTCTGTCCTCAAAGTAATTTGCACACCTTCAAGTAGGTACACACTGAGTTGCATTGCCATCCCGGTTGCGACACGACAATCCAAGATGGTGTGTTGACACGATGGGCTGTGTAACATGGGAGATAACGCGAATTCTAACAGGTAACAAGCTGAACCAAATTGAATTTCCATTTAGTCTTCTCTCTCGGAATTCCTGTTGTTTCCCTTTATCCCTGGCACCCGGTAAAGCGAAGCTATGAACCGCGAAGGTTGGAGTGCGGGGGGTCTTAGTCGTGATTGGCTGATCAACCATCTCCTCGCCTGGACAACAACACACAGAAGGAATGGATAAGGTTATTGTCCCAGTTTTCAAGACTCAAAGAGAGACTATCGGTGGGCAAGAGAATACTTGAATGGAATTTTAATAACGCCAATGGGGCTTGAGGTTCCGTTCAGCCCTGTTTCTCTGAAGTCCACGACGCTTGGACAACAGGACTCATAATCAAGAATAAAAAGAGAGCATCGACTAGATGGTCTGGATAGCAAAAAACATACAACAGCGGGGATTCGCTGGTCGTCACCGACCCAACTACTAATCCGCCCCTTGCAGGCTTGACTATGGGAGAGCGGACGGGATCCCGTATTTTCCGGCAGGTATGGTCGTATGTGATAGACGGCGACGATGGCGAGGCTCATGGACCGCTCAGGGGGGGCAACACTGCAACATGGGATAGATTTTGAAGTTGGAGCGTGCTTGAGGAGGTCTAACGACGCGTCGTCTCTCCCCAGATCCAGAGTTACGGAGCTTGCCATGTGGATTGGCTACGATCCACATCATCCCAACATCGTGGGTTCCTCACCCCGAATCTACATGCCCTGAAAATTACCTGACCATTTTTGATTCTCCCAGCAGTTCTATAACTACTTTTTTTGTGCTGAATTGGGCGTCCAGTCGGCAATCATATCTCCTGCAGCGAGTACCTGATTGCCGTCGTTGTGGCCGAAGCACCTACCCGGAACCTCCAGATCACGAATGTGGAGTAGAGGTGAAAACCTCCGCGGCATCTCCTCACAAATACCGAGACAGCTCTCCGCATGTTCCCCCGCATGCGTGATCACCACTTGCAGCAATGACCCCGATATTCCCCCAGTGGCTTCAACGACCACGGTCTGGAGGTGTTCCAAGATCCCTCATGTGCCACCAATTGCGGAGCCGCACAAGCACGTTTTCTCGTCGCAGGCCAAGCACACGCGTCAGAGGCAAGGCTGGGTCCATGTTTGGGCACTAGCTTCCAATCGCCCGCACTAGGGGCAAAGGGAGAAGCGCCAAGGTGTTGATAACAGCTAGCATTACCGCCGATAGGCAATATTTTCCGCCTCCTCCCGTGCGCCGAGTTTGAGTAGCGCACGTTGGCTTGTGCAAAACTTGGCAGTTAGGTGCGGTGTTTTCTCGACATTGCTCGGCATGTTGGGATGGAGCTCGGAGTCTTGGCAAAATGTCCAGGCTTTCAAGTTTTCGAATACGACATCACCACACTAACCATCGAATACCATGGCTACCTCAACTGTCGACGCCCCGAACTTTGCGGCGTACACGCCCGCCGAAACGGCTGAACTTATCTGTCGTGCTGGAGTCAAGAAGGGAAACACACGCCCCGATAAGGTGTTTCTATCTGCCATTTTTGGCGGATGCATTCTGAGCTTTGGTTGCGCTGTCTCATTGACTGCCGTGACTGCACCATGGTACCAGGAGAATGCACCTGGTCTGGTGAAGCTCGCTGGTGCCATTGTGTTCCCAATTGGCCTAGTGACAATCTTCCTGACGGGAGCTGAGCTATTCACTTCGACGAATATGGTGAGTGGCTTGTTCCAGATATCGAAACAGCTGCTAACTATCCTACTAGTTTACTATGGTAGCGGTTCTCAATGGGAGATTGTCCATCTGGAAGATGCTACTGCACTGGTTTCTGTGTTTCTTCGGAAACCTGCTGGGTTCCCTCTTCGTCATGGCCCTCATTGTTGGGTGTATGTTTCCCCAATTGAGGCTATGACTATCAGTTGGCACTGACAACCGGACCTACAGATGGAGGCATCTTCGACGCTGATCCTTATAAGAAAGAGATCCAGACATATACTACCAAGAAGCAGCTTGCTCCTGCCGCGTACCAGATTTTCATACGTGGCATTGGATGCAACTGGCTTGTCTGCATTGCCTGCTTCTTCGGCACCCAGGCCAAGAGCGTCGGCTCCAAGGTGGTTGGCATGTGGCCACCGATTTTTGCCTTTGTCGCCCTTGGGTTCGATCACGTTATCGCCAATATGTTTATCATCCCTATGGGCATCTGGCTTGGCACGCCTGACTTGACTGTCGGGCTCTACATCTGGAAGGGTGAGTCAATTCGTGTACTTGATTGTGGCCAAGACTAATGTTTCGCAGGGATGATTCCAGCCCTCTTCGGTAACATTCTCGGCGGAAGCCTTTGTTGCGGTGTGTACTTCTGGTGGATCTTCTTGGCCTCGGAGGGTCCTGTGGATAATGACGGATCTGGGATGGGTGTTTTGGATGGCCGAGGGAAAGCGACTGCTTCGGATGAGGAGAGCAGGATAGAATAGAGGGGACATCAGGGACGGGTATAGAAAAAAGCATTATAGAATAGAGTATAGAGTAGACGTCTAATGTGGTAATATCATTTTCCTCCACTTCATTCCAGCAGTTGGGGCTCAGGTTCAATCTTGCAGGTCAGCTGGAGAGGACTCAATGGGGGAAACTTCGCCCAGGAAGATCAGGCAAATGTCACCCAATGCCTTGAGAAAACAAGGAAGGCAGACCCTCAGAGTCAGTGAGTCACCACATGCTCCATTTGATAACCCCCAATGTGATCAGGAAAAGACAATCGGTTCAACGGCAATTTTTTCATTCTCCAATTTTCCGCCCCGCTCAGGTGGGGAAGGTTAAAGCTTATCCGGTAAGCTTAAGCGCGGCCTGCGGGGAGTCCGATTCAGAGGGGATGTCGAGATGCGTCGATTCAAGCTCTTCATTTTGTTTTTGGGGTTCTTAAAAGCCTCAGAGATATTTCGAAGCCTGTAGCAGCCTACACATGTAGGTGTTAAAGAGCAATCGCTCAACGTACGAGTCCTTTTTGGCGATTCCGACACTCTTCAGAAGTCAGAACGGAGGTCTGGACCATTTCGGCGTCTATTCCTTGTCTGTTTAATTTTTCAATCCCCGATGATCACCAGGCAAGAGGAAAAGCCTCAAGAAAGATAAGAATAAGCTGGTTCCCGCCAAAGCAGAAGCTACCGAGCACGCAACCCACCCCGAAGTCCGAATGCCGAGAGAGAACTCCAAACTTGGCATGCGGGGGGGTTTCCCTACCCCCTTTTTTTCTCTTTCGGCTTTCCATCCGGGGTTGGCTCCGCAAAGGGGTCGAGAAACAGGGCGGGGATGGGGACCCCAAAAGCAGTCAAGAACTCCGGGGAGGTTCTTATCATGGTCTTGAGCGTTGCTGGCGTTTCCGAACAATGGGGAGCGTCTCGGTAGAGGTTACCGATATGCCGTCTCCAACTTTTCCCTAGTGGAGGAGAGCGGGGACGGACAGAACTCCGTTGTGCCGATGATAACAGCAACGTTCATAATCACCAGTCATATCATCACCATTGATCAGCCCGTGTACGACTTAACGAGAGTCTGCATCTCTTTAAAAACATGATTCTATTCTTGGGTGGCAGAGGTGGAGCACCTTGTGCACTTGTCACTTGATAGTCAAGTCCGATTTCTCCTCCTGTCTTGATCTTTGCTGCTCCTGCAACTGATCCCTTAAAGCAAACGACTGCTCCCGCGCATAATCCTGCGCGTTTCTAATCTCCTTGCGACCTTTCTTGAAAGACTCGTATGATTCTATTAGATTTGTTTGTGTCAAACGGTGCTGATGGTACTCCACCGCCCCATCCTCTCCGGTTGGCAATGCATGATGGGCGAAAAGGTTGACATTCTCCCCGTTTGAAGTGAAGGTTGTGATGGCAGAGTGACCTAGCGGGTCGGGCTCGCCGAGGCACTCCAGCGCCTGATTCCTTCCGTACACCATAGCTGCGCCGTCGTAACCGCTTTGAAGTGTTGCCTCAACCATATCCCCAGATCGGGATTCCCATTCTCCAGCAAAATGTGCCAAGGTTGTAGATGTCAAGTCATCCTTGAACAAAACAGCGCCCTGTATTTTGGAAGGGTCAGCAGGAAGGAACTCTTCTCTCGTGAGGCCCTGGATGAAGTCAGGCTGAGGCGCAGATAATCTATTGTTGAAGCCAAGGCCTTTTGGCAGGGCAGAAAACGCCCGATTTATGTCGATGTTGTATTTTCCGTCGTAATCTTGAAAGAGGGGTAGCATTCATTGCATAACGGCCGCTTTATTGCCGGCTGCGTCGATCTTCTCGCAGTATAGCTCGTACTCCGACTGGGTTGGTGATGCAGTCTCGCGGCTTCCATTGAGGCACTCGAGAGTCTCTTTGGCGTTTTGACATGGCATCGACCTCGGGGGATCAAGTATCCCATTGGCCATAGCCTGCCTCTGGAAGCCACTAGTAGCCGTGGATTTTATCATGTCCGATTTTGTTGACTTTGTAGTGCTACTTGATGCCGTTTTGGGCTTTCCTGGCCCAGTAGCCCTAGTCATGTTGTTGAGTAAGCGCAAGTTATGCTTCGTGAGGCGCAACGGCTTTGGCGCTCGTGGAACCTGTGTTGGCCTCTGGGATGGAACCTCGATGGCAACATCATTGATTTCAGGTGTCTCGAGACAAGTTCGTTTCAACAGCAAATCATCACTGGCTTCGGGCGGTGAGCGCTTCTTATGTAGTAGTTGCAGGTGGTCGGCCATAACGGAGAGAGCAAGGTCAAAAGGGTGAAGTTGGCTACAGGCAACTCGCTGACTGCGTCGTATCAAGAGCTAAGTGGCGGTTAGCAGATATTCAGATGTAGGAAACTAATTACGGTTTGAAAAAGGTGAGTTCAGTATTGAGTAGCTTGCGTTAATATAGGTCATGAGTTTTCGCGTCTTTGTTAAGAACTGGGTTCTTTGTTCTACACGGTTAGAGGCATTACAGTGACCACCTGCTGCCGCCGTCGCCACCATTACTTACCATCCTAGCTCAATGCCACAGACCTCTATGGTTGTTTCTTATCGCGCAATAGAAACCACTATTACTGAGGAGCATCTACATCAAGTGATAATAGACAGGAACGAGACGAGTAAGGCCAAAAAAAGGAAAAGAGAAAGAAAAAAAACTCATTGACTTGTGTTATTCAACTACCTTGATAAAGACTAAGTACCATTCGCAGGCTGGCGGTAAGTCTTGCCATCCACCGTTGTCGTCAGTGTTCCATTAGCATTGAAGATATTAGTCATGACATCAATCGACAACTGAAATCCATCAGGGCTAGTCTTCTTTGTGTTCACAACTTTGCCCACTTTCTGGACGAGATCAGATCGCCAGTCGACCAAGGTCAATGTCGCTGACCCTGCTGTAGCCTTGACGCTCTCTGTGCCGTTAAGAACAAACTTGCCATCGTCCGAAAACTTGAAGTATTCCACGCTGACAGTGCTGAGAGATCCAGCAGAATTGTCACGGAGCCGGATCTTGGCGTATCCGCTGTGCTTTCCGGGCAGTGTGTAGTTTCCAGCTGGAACCCGTGGGCGAGCCACGTCTTTGCTGCCGGGAACATACCGAATACCCCAAGGTACGGTATCCGATGCTGCCTTGACCTTGACAGGCGCGTATGGCTTGCGGCTTGTGAGAGTTGCCACAACCACACGCTGAGCTCTGCCCCAAGGTTCCTTGGAGGGATAGCATGGGAGAGGGTTCTGACCTCCGCACGCCGGGGAGAGTGTAATCTCATCCCACCACACAACCTGGGTGCCATCAGGAGACCACCGAGGATCAGCTCTGGCGTTCCACTCGGGGTCGTTGTAGTCACCACTGCCAGCCACACCAGATCCTTGGCCGTTGAGTCTCTGTCCGTAGTAGTCTCCTCGATCGCCATACTTGTCAAGTAAATATGGTCGAAAGAATCGTCTTCGGCCGTTATTGCGGGTGGCAGATGTCACTGACGTGCTGACCAAGTCTGTGATTGGGGGGATGTGGCGCATACCAGAGAGCCACATCTGACGATCAGTGCCGCGGGTATCAATTGCGACAAGCCATTGACTGTCCGGCGAAAAGTCCAGAGGGTCGATGTATTCAGGGTGACTGGTTAGTCGCCGGACTGCTCCGGTGGTCAGATCGACAGCATAGGCGTCAATGTTTGACGATTCACTAGGATAGCCGACGTAGGTCACCTCTTTTCCATCACCGGTGAAGCCTCTAAGCTCTCCCACTGTGATAGCCCCGGGGTTTATGACCAACTCGTCTCCCTTGACCTCGATTGGCTGTGTATCGCTTGGGTCGGCGAGTAGGGTAACATTGAGGAGGTCATATCTAGGACCAAGGGGGAGGCCAGTTTTGGGAGACGGGTTGAAGATGAGCCTGGAGAAGTAGGCATTCTGACCAAGCTTGCCGTCGACCTGGGTGAAAGAATTGAAACCCAAGTGCACGTTATCCGGGTGAAGACGGAGCTCTCTGATGTCACCACCAGGACCTGAACCGTCGGCATTGGTGTTCCAGCGAATGGAATACCACTTTGCGACTTGAGGTGTGCAACGGGGGTCAACTAGATCGTATTTTCCACAGTCGAGAATGGAGGAGCCGCCCAGTGCGCGTTTCCCATCACGAAATGCCTGAGGATATTCGAGCTCCTCTGTCTTCTCTCGGTAGACGCCACAGCTCAGACATTTCCAAGGATCTCCGTTGGGGAATTTGCTTCCATCGGTCTTGACAGTGATGAGTTGGGTTCCGGTATAGATGCTGGCCTTGTCAGGTGCCGCAGGCGCGCCGACAAAAGTGACTTGAACGAGGACGTGTTTCCCGTCGGGTAAGAAGCTACCGGACCCGAGATGCAGTGTCTTCCCGGTGCAGCCTGTTCCCTTCGGATTGATGGTCGAGTTGCAGTCTCCCGGGCCAGCGTCATCCGCAATGGCCGGCGGAAGAGGCAGAGTCTGAAGCTTAATGGGTTCAGGGCTTGGAGGAGCAGGGACTGTCTTCTCGGTAGCCTTCTGAGGGAGAGAATAAGCTCCTTGCGTGAGCAGGAGGAGAAGAGTTGGCAGGTAAGACCGCATTCTGGCTGTGTAGAGAGAGCGCTGCCTTGATAGAGAGGAGGCATCAGAAGGATGGAAGGAATCGGCCTTTTATGTTAAACGCGACGGGAGAAGTCTGAACGTGTGGAAAAATAACTGCACTTTCACGACAGTCAAGAACACGAGGACTACAGCTTGCCATCTGGGGTTGAGTGCACTGCTGCCCCCGCATGTGCCATACTGTTTGCGGTGCAAACAGACGAGTTCTGTATACGCGTATGCCATTTTCTCCGCACTCGGAGCCATTTTGAACCTTTTCGATCCATCATCACGGGCTAGATCACGATGTATGGAAAACCTCACAAGGTTGTTTTCTTGTCTTTCGCTCGTGACCCATGTAGTTCCCCGCGTTTCTAGATTCCCGCCCTGTTTTCCGCCTCCCCTCCATCACTTACCCCGGATCCCCGGATCGACAGGTCCAGTGTCCGTATTCTAGCTAAACGGTTTGGAACCTGGTCAAGTTCAGCTGCGGGGAAGTATTAAGCTAATGCATGCCGGACATGGTGATCCCCGATGAGTTTCCCGACGGTGACAGCCACAGCACACTCCACATCGTCTGATCAGGTGCACCTACATAGATGTATTTACGTGTCCCTCAAAGGGCTCTGATGCTTTCTCCCTGATCATCCTCAAGTGGTATAGTCTTGATTTAGAGCATATCCAGCATGACTTCTACTCGTGGCATTTCCATTGAACAACAGCCCGGCAGAAACGACTGGGAGAATGAGGCTGTTTTCCGTCGTAATTGCCTCCCACCTCGATCCTACTTTATCCCCGCTACCGCACTCGTTCTAAATGGCAAATGGGACTTTCACTATGCGCCAACGCCATGGGACACCCCAGACAACCCGCAAGGCGAGCCCCCAGGCGTGCAAGAGACTTCGTGGAACGCAATTGAAGTCCCCGGGCATTGGCAGCTCCAGGGCTTTGGGCACCCACACTATACAAATGTGCAGCTGCCTATTCCCGTGTGCCCTCCGTACGTACCGACCGAGAACCCGACCGGCACTTACCGAAGACGGTTCCATGTCCCGGCGGATTGGGATAAGAGTTCGCTGCTTTGCCTGCGCTTTGACGGGGTAGATTCGGCCTATCATCTGCGCGTCAATGGTGTTTTGGTCGGGTATGCCCAAGGCTCTCGCAACGCCTCCGAGTTTGACATCACCGAGTATATCGATTGGGAACGTGAGAATGAGCTTTCTGTCACGGTTTATCAGTGGTCTGATGCCACCTACATTGAGGATCAGGACCAATGGTGGCTTTCAGGTATGGAGATCCCTTATTGAAATGTCCTTTAATGATGGTTCGCGACTCATGGCTAATGTAATGGACACTCAGGCATCTTCCGAGACGTGCACTTGATCGCATTCCCCTCCGATCCCTACATCCGAGACTGGTTCATCCGCACCGAGTTTGACAATGCATTCGAGAACGGCACGCTGAAGGCTGAGATTGAACTTTCCAAGCCCGCTAGTGGTTCTGTGAGACTCTCTGTCAAAGGACTCAGCCGCAACAAGGGAACCATCATTGCCGAGACTGAGTCAATCCTTGATCCTGAATCCATGAAGCTAAGCATTGACCTCAATGTTTCGAGCCCTGAGAAATGGACTGCCGAAACCCCAAACCTTTATCGGGTCGAGATTACACTAGCAAGTGGCGAGACCTTTTACACCGTCCATCAGAATATCGGCTTCCGCACGATTGGGCTTGTCAATGGACTCATCTGCGCCAATGGCAAACCGATACGATTCAGAGGAGTCAACAGGCACGATCATCATCCTCATCGCGGCCGTGCGGTGCCTTTGGAGTTTATCCGCCGAGATCTCATTCTCATGAAACAACACAACATCAACGCTATCCGTTGCAGCCACTACCCTCCCGACCCTAGATTCTTTCAGTTGGCTGATGAGATTGGCTTTTGGGTTATCGATGAGGCAGATCTTGAGTGCCACGGCTTCCTGCGGAGTGTCTCCCGTGCACTCAATCTGTCAAAAAGCATGACGTATGGCGAGAAGAGGGATCTTGTGTTTGGACGATCTGCAGAGTACATCTCCAACAACCCGTCGTGGGAGGCTGCCTACCTCGACCGTGCTGAGTCCATGTTTCATCGGGACAAGAACCACACCTCTGTCGTTATCTGGTCACTGGGCAATGAGTCATTTTACGGACAGAACCACGACAGCATGTACGCTCTTCTCAGAGAAAGAGACCCAAGCAGGCTCCTTCACTACGAGGGCGACATAGATGCGAAGCATGCCGACATGTATTCTCGCATGTACTTGACCATGGATGAGCTCGAATCTCATGCCGAGACTCTGGGTGTTGGCGAGGATGGCACCTTTGAGAAGCCCATTATCCTTTGCGAATACGGCCACGCGATGGGTAACGGACCGGGTGGACTCGAAGACTATGAAGAACGCTTCCGAAAGTACCCCAGACTCCAGGGTGGCTTTATCTGGGAGTGGGCAAACCATGGTCTGTGGAAGCAGGAAGGGGACAAAGGCTTCTACGCTTTTGGAGGTGACTTTGGCGAGTTTCCCCATGATGGAACATTTACCATGGGTGGTCTATGCAACAGTGCTCATAATTCGACGCCGGGGCTTGTTGAGTATAAGTCGGTCATTCAGCCAGTGCGCACAGAGTTCGTCAATGGCGAGCTTCTTGTTCACAACATGTACGATTTTGTTGGTCTGGATCACCTTACGGCAGCCTTCAAGATTGAGGAGCTCGGTGCTGGGTAAGTATTCTTCTACGCGCTGGAGTTACTACTCGTGATACTGATACGAACGATGCAGGTCCTCGATTATTGTAGCTGGGAAGCTCGATGTACCTTTCGTCGCCGCTGGCTCGACGACCAAGATTCCACTACCCGAGGGAATCACCAACGTCGAGAGCGGGTACGAGGTACTGCTTACAGTTCGGTTCTGCTTGTCGGTTGATACTTCTTGGGCCCAATCTGGCCATGAAGTTGCCTGGGCTCAGTTCATCCTGTCCGAAGCAACACCTACTCCGTCGCCCTTGCAAGATGCTGTCCTCTCAAACACGAGCTCCGGTCTCTCGACCACTTCAGTTGGAGCCACGGTCAAGATCAACGGGCCAAGCTGGCAGTTTGAGTTTGACAAGATCAGAGGATACCTCAAGGCTTGGAAATGCTCAGGATTGTCTGTCCTAGAGCAGGACCCCCTTACAAAGGTGGCCGTCATCCCGTCCATCTGGCGCCCACCTACCAACAACGACGTTCCCTCTGCTGTGCCGGAGTGGGAGAGATACGGGGTCGAAGTCATGACCAGTCAGAAGAGGTCTTTCGTCTTCAAAAGCGACGAATCCGGGGTGGTTATTGAAGCCGAAACCTATCTTTCTCCCGCCATCCTGGACTGGGGTCTGATCTGCCGAGCTGTGTACAAGATCTCGCCTTCAGGATCTCTCGAAATTCGCGTCAACCTTGTTCCTCGCGGATACAGCCCGTCGGATGTTCCCCGCATTGGACTGGACCTCCGCATGAACCGCGCTCTGGACGGCGTACGGTGGCTTGGTCTCGGGCCTGGCGAGTCATACCCCGACAAGCGTAGCTCTCAGAAGCGGGGCATTTGGAGCGCAGAATCCGTATCAGATCTTCAGGTTCCCTACGATTTGCCTCAAGAGAACGGCAATCGTATGGAAACCCGCTGGCTAACCCTGTCGAACGCGTATGGCCTTGGCATTCGGGCGACCAGCATCCCGGGCGAAGATCATCATCATTTCAACTGGACTGCAACGCGGCATTCGGCAAAGACTATTCAAGCAGCGAAGCATCCTTGTGACTTGGTAGAAGAGGATGCAACCATTTTGCGTCTTGATGCTGAGGTTGCTGGTGTGGGTACAGGGGCGTGCGGGCCTGGAGTTGCAGAACGTCACCTTGTTGATCTGCGGGAGATGGAGTTTGGGTTCAAGCTGGAGGCACTGCTTAATGGTTCCCTCTGAGTAAATTATACCGTAGTTGGAATTGAGTAGTATATGCGTTGTGCTGTAGATACTTTCACTCTCTCCGATTGTTCGCCACTTGTGAAGCTGAAGTTGTCTCTTTTTGTTTCATTGTTTCTCACTCAGGGCTTCCTTACCTTGCTTGTCCTGCTATTTGGGGACCTATCAACCAAAACCACTGTGTTAAGAGTCGACTCTTCTTGTGTCCGTGAGGGCATCTCCAAATGTCCGACGGCCTTTCAATATCGTACTACCCCTACTAGGATTCGATCTCGCTTACCAAAGATCCGTCTGGTTCACGCTGCGTGAGAGAGCCTGTTGACCTTAGGATCGCTAAATCCGCATCCAGCGAAGGAACGTCAGCGTCTCCTAATTAGTACTAGAGCTACCCACACCAGGAGCCTAAGCGGTCCAATCATCAGGATGAATGACTATCGATGCAGGGATTTATCATGATACGCGTAAAGGTATAGCTGTTGAAGTATCGAATACACGTATTCGCCCTCCAAGGTCAAGACATGCCCACGACCGGGATGGATTCTTCTGTAACTCTCCCACTGTGTTACTCAAATTTATTCTCTCCGCTGAAAATGAAGTAAAACAGGTAGCCTTCCAAGCCAAGAAGCTGCTTCTAGTGTTGCATTACGTCCCCTGCCCAGACGTGCATCATCTACGCAATAATAACCCTACGTTTTGTTCCGACATCATGAGACCTCTATCAGCCTGCAAGGCCTGTCGGTGGGTAACCTTCAAAGTGCCCGTCGGAAAACAAGGCGCCTTATGCTAACAAACGTCGCCAGGGGCCGCCAGAAGAAGTGCATTAGGCCGCGCCGTGGGACAACGTGCGTCTTCTGCACCAAACGAGGTCTCGAGTGTGATGTTGCGCCAGACCAGAAGCCCATTTTGCCACAAGGCTATGCTCCTCTGGCTGATCCGAAAGGAATGGCGCTTCATGCTTCGTCTGCGGCAATCCCTGATCGCGCCTTGTCGAGAGAGCTGATCGACCTCTTTTTTATCCATGTCCACTTTGCCTTTCCGAACATGTTCCACATGCCCTCATTCAAGGCGGCATTTCAGAACGGCACTATCCCCAGAGTCTTGTTCTTTGCCGTCATAGGTCTCTCGGCTCGGTTCTCTGGTCACCAGAGCCTCAGCCATCTCAACCCTTGGCACAGAGGCCGCCCGTACGCCCAAGAAGCAGAGAAGTTACTTGACTTGCACGACACCTCGATAGTTACGATTCAAGCTTGCATGCTCCTGGCTGCAAACTTCATTGCGGATGGTGAGGCAATGACTGAATGTGTCTATCTCACCATTGCTTGCCGTATTGCTATGTTGATAGATCTTCCCAACCTGAAGGTCAACAGTCGTATCGAGCAAGAAGTCAATCGTCGAGGTACGAAACTCCCATCTTAAATATGACACTTAATCTCATAGAGTAACTAATCCATGATAGTATGGTGGTCACTGGTTACGACTGATACTTGGAACAGCTCGTCTGTCTCGCTTCCGCGCGCCATCCAGATTCGCCATGATGTCCCTTTGCCAATAAGCGAACATGACTTCCTAAACCTTGACGTTAGCGAACCAGCTGAGCATATTGCATCGCCAATAACCCCCTTCTCTCCAGCCTCATGGCCTTCCCCCTCGTTGCTGGCCCGATTCATCAGCCTCAACACCCTTCTTTATGAAGTGAATCGGCTGAATGCCAAAATCGCTGCCGAAAAAGTAGCTGAAGGTCAAGCTCATGAAGCTATTGAGGAACTCGCTGCGACTTTAGATGCATGGCTGACCGACTTGCCTCCTCAGTTGAGATACACAGAAGAAAATATGGCTTTCTGGGGCAGCCAAGGCTCTGGGCCTACTTTTGTCAATATGCATATGAACTACCATCATATTGGGCAGCTTCTCTTCTACTCCTCCCTTGGGGCGAGTCTAGAGATTGATAGCGGTAGTCCTGTTTACGAGCAGACCATCGGTTTGGCTACAAGGTGTAAACAACACGCGGCCGACCTCTGCGACCTCATCTGGACAGCAAAGCAGCGGCCAGAGACGGACATTATGCATTCACTTGTCGGCCATGACCTCGTCACATCGTCAACAGTACAGATACACGCACTACTATTCAGCCCTAACGACGAAGAAATTGCGACGGCTAGGTCTAGGCTGGAGCGGAACTTTGAGATGATTACTGATTTGCACAAGTACTGGCCCATCGTCTCGGTGACGATCAGTAAGCTGCAGAAGTTTCACAATGCTTGCCTCAGATACAAGGACGCGACCTTTCATCTCGATCGATGGATGTTGCAGTTCATACTTGAGTTTTCACAACCAATCCAGGAGAGGAGCGAGGAGATGTTGCATCGTGGAGACAATGAAGAGGTCTTTGATCAACTCAGAAACCTCATTGATGCATAACTACAAGATAGTCTAGGGTTTAATGCCGTTGTGTATTGATAACTGTGTCTTTTGCTATTGTGACTGAAGGCCTCTTATCATCATTACAGAGAATAATCAAGACAGGTTGTCTCCCACTGCAATAATGGCATTACCCTAAACAAAGGAATATGTCAACGGCTAGTTCTCCAAGGTGAAATTACTTGACATTGAAGAGCCGTTGATACGCTCGCTTGTGGAGCACGCCGGCTCGTGAGAAACAACATTGATGGGAGCTCGGCCAGCTGCCCGAGTGTCTTTGAAGGCAAACTGGATAATACGGACTTTCTCCCGATCAAAACCTTGTAAATGCATCTCGCCAAAGAGAGATTTGTTAAAATCAGGTGAACCTACCCTCACGGTTCCTTCGTTCCGGCTGCGGGGTTGCGGCTGAGAGGCTCAACAATGCATCGTCGGGGAACGAGGCGGGATTGCAAGGGACATGCAGACCGTTCACTAGTGAGCGATCAATAACACTAGCGAACCCCGCCCTTGGTTGGTGAATTGCTCGCTTGTTCCACTGAGTCATGCCACAAACCATCGACCTTTCCAACTTTGTTGCCCCAGGTTCAACCAACGTGACCCCATGGGGAACGGTGGGATCGACCTCGATGGTGGCACCACACCCGCTCAACCAAGTCTAACGTTTTGGTCTGGAGACTTCCGAACCTCGGGTAGCCAGTGTCTTGGTATCAGCTACTTAAATGATGCTGTCCCCGTTGTAACCGCAACACATACTCCAACACCAATCCAGCTCATACACAGAGTCTCTTCCTCAGTCAACTCTCTAAGACCAGCAGTTCCATCGAAATGTCTGCACCGGGCAGAAACTCGGTCGCCAAGCCTCCATCTCTCGCAGGAGAGCATGATGAGATGGCCAAGCCGATCGAACATGTCACCCAGGTTGAGACATCCTCTGCAGCTCTTGCAGAGGCCCTCGCTCAGAAGGGGAAGCTCACTGGCAAGTCTCTGGCTCGCCTTTACGTCGTCATGACTGTCGGTTATCTCGTCTCGACTATTCAGGGTTTCGGTGAGCTGTGGTCTCTGCGCAACAAGTTAACTCGTTGACTAACGTGACTCAGATGGTTCTCTCATGGGAGCTATCAACGCGATGAAGCCTTACCAGGAGTCCTTTGGTCTTGACGGCAGTGGCTCCTCCACTGGTATCGTCTTTATCATCTACAACTTGGCTCAGCTTGCCGCGTTCCCCTTTGTGGCCTACATCTCTGACGTACACGGTCGACGTCCATGCATCTTTATAGGATGTCTCGTCATCTTGATTGGTACTGCTATTCAGGGCTCTGCCCACAGTCTTGGGCAATTCATCGGAGGCAGATTCGTCCTGGGCTTTGGGGCCATTGTCGCGCACGGTGCCGGTCCGGCGTACACTGTCGAGCTCGCCCATCCTGCTTATCGAGGCTTGACTGCTGGCATGTATGTGGCGTTTCCAACTCGATCATTTTGATGGTGCTAATATTTGAGTAGGTACAACAACTTTTGGTGGGTTGGTAATATCTTGGCAGGCTGGGTTACTTATGGTACCAATCTGTGAGTGTCTTCCACTTTAGTCCGCTGTGCTCACTAACCTCGGCCTGACAGACATGTCAAAACCTCATGGGCGTGGCGAATTCCCACTATCCTACAGGCCGCTTTCCCCTCAATCGCCATGGCTCTTGTCATCTTTCTCCCCGAGTCTCCTCGCTGGTTGATCTCCAAGGACAGAACCGAAGAGGCACTGGCCATCTTTGCCAAGTATCACGGCGAAGGAGACCCCAACTCGCCCATCGTTCAGCTACAGTATCAGCAAATCTTGGAAGAGCACACTCACGAGGAACCTGGTCGCTGGTGGGACTACCGTGAACTTGTCAATACTCGATCCGCGCGGTACCGGATTATGCTTGTGGTTGCCACAGCTTTCTTTGGCCAGTGGTCGGGTAACAATGTCATCTCGTACTTCCTTGTGAGTCTTCTCGAGCCAACCAGAAAGGACTTTGCTGACAAGTTATGGTAGCCCGAGATGTTAAAGAAGGCCGGCATGACCAACTCGAATACTCAACTGCTCATCAACGCCATCAACGCTGTCATCTGCTGGTGCGCTGCCATGTGCGGCTCCATGGTCCTTGACAAATTCGGCCGTCGAAGAATGATGATGAGCGGTCTTACGGGATGTCTCGCCGCATACATCATGCTAACCGCCTTCGCGGCCAATTCGGATAGGCACAAGGATCTCGTCTATGGACTCATCGTCGCCGTGTATCTCTTTGGTATTTGCTTCGCCACGGGCATGACGCCCAGTGCTACACTCTACCCTATGGAGTGTCTTACAAACCGGACTCGTGCCAAGGGATCTTCCATCAAGTTTGTGTTTATGAACATTGCAACGATGACCAACACGTACGGTATCAGCGTCGGCATCAAGGAGATTGGGTGGAAGCTGTACCTGATTTACATCGTCTGGATCGCCATCGAGATTATTTTTATGTACTTTTTCTTTGTCGAGACAAAGGGCAAGAATCTGGAGGAGATATCCGAGATCTTTGAGGCCAAGAACCCTCGAAAGGCCAGCACCAAGAAGGTTGTGGTTGCCCTCGATGAGACTGGCCATGTCGTGGACATTCAGGAGGTAAAGAAGGATTGATTGCAGCTACAGTGAGAGGCTGAGAGCTTTGAGTTGGGGTTGAGCAGAATCACTGGTCCTGATATGTGTCCCAGTTATGCTGGGATATGTAGTTATGTACTGGCACAAAACCTAGTGGCCTCGTGCTATGTATTTGTGCAATACATTAGTTATGAAGTGTTTGCCAAGAATGGAATAGCCTCCCGATTTGTTTCCGTGACGTCATTGAAGTTGATGCTTGATAGAAGAATACATGCGAATACTTGATCGCTATTGTCTTGAAGTCCAGCAAATGAACAGAAATGCCCAACAGCGTTAAGTAAATATATCATTATCTCACTCGCCAGGTTTTTTTCCTCTCCATGTATCTTTCTTTTAACACAAGAACGCATCTCAGATCTCCAGCCCCTTTTCCCATCTGGCTACCCTGCAACGGGAGAACTCAAACAAAAGCCCGCCTAAAAGTGGAGGATTGAGTTGAGCAGGTATTCTTCAGCTCCCTTCTGCATTAGAAAAGCTCGGATATTAATCACGTGCAACTTTCCGGGTGCTTTTGTTGAGTTTCGATACCGTCAGATAATTATTGTTTGTTGTCGTGGTTTGTGCCCCTATTCACAAACATCGAGAGACACGATCACCACGAATTTGCAAGGAAATATCAGGCATAAAGTATTGACATCTAAAAACCCGAGTTTCTAGTTAGCGATGTTTGGAAATTCGCCGTGTTAGACACCCAATAGTTGCACGATGGTGATCACTAAGATTCTATGTCCAACGAGGCGAATTCAAAGCAAGATGCAAAACTAGGTCTCTACTACAATCCCCACCAATGCTTTAGATACAAATGCAATAGTATGTACAAGTCGAATGAACCAGCCCTAATTCTACTTCCATTTACCTGAATCCAGCACAGACATCGCGGTAAACGTTCTTCTCAAGTCCAGCAGCATCCTTAGGGATGTAGTCCAGAGCAGTAGCATGAGAGTAAGTCCAGCGAGGGTCGTTGAGCTCAGTCTTCCAGGTCCAGTAGACCCATCCGTCCATACCGGGACTCTCGTATAGCTGCTGCTGAGCGGTAAAGAACTTGTTGAAAAAGTCCTTGTTGTGCCAGTCCGCATTGGAGGTCATGCTCCACTCGCCAGTGATGGCAAAGTCTTGGCCGCTAATGACGCGTGAGTCGGTGCAGGCGCTGTGCATCAGCTTGTACTGGTCACCGCGGTCGTTGTCGTTCAAGGCGAAGCCGATGTAGTTGTGATCGTCGAAGCCGGTGAAGGGGTCGTTGGCGATGCTGGTCTGGGTGCGGGCGTCACCAGAGTCCCACTTCTTGGACATGAACTGCACGTGGAGCTTCTTGTTGTTGGGGACGCCGAGAGAAGATTCGGCATCGCGAACGGCCTTGAGAGCACCGGGATAGTACTTCTGGACCAGGCCGGGGTCTTGGCCGGGGGCTGGGTAACGGTTGCCTCCGTCGTGGCGGGAGACAGGCTCGTTGAGGACCTCGATCATACCGACGGTTCGGTAGGCGGTGTTGCTGTGAATGCGCTTGGTCATCCAGGTGAGCCACTTCTGGGCACGACCAAAGTTGTAGTCGTTGTAGAAGCCAGCAGGCTTGTTGTTCTGGCCGGTGAAGACGTCCTCCTGTTGACCACCGGGAGCACCGTGGAGATCAATGATGACATAGAGACCGAGGTCGGCAGCCTTGCCGACAACAGCATCAAGGTAAGGCAGCATACGGTTGCCATCAGCAAAAGGCTCGCTGGCCTTGTCGACAATGTCGACGTAAGACCAGTAACCGATGGGGATACGTATGGTGTTCAGACCGACATCGTGGACGGACTGGACAGTGGCCGTGTTGATCCAGTTCTTCCAGTGAGTCTCAAAGGCCTGGTTACCAGCCTCACGGTTGCTTCCAGAGTAATGCTCTCGCATGCAGTCAAACTCGGAGACGGACTGGCCGCACTTCATGTTGTTCTCCCACTCATTTCGCTGCAACCAAGGTTCGCAGACGAGCCAGCCTAGAGATAATCAGATTTGCATCAAGAAACCATACTCAGGATGGGTACTTACCACCAAAGTTGACGCCACGGATCTTGTTGATGCCGGGAGCAAGAGTAGGCTCGAAGCGCTTGCCAAGCTGCTCAAAGCGAGCAGTCAGGTTGAAAGCCGCCAAGTCCTGCTCATGAGGGAGCCATGCGTGGACGGCGTTGAAAAGAAGAAACGAAACCAGACTCGAGTACTGCATCTTGAAGGTTGAGAGATGGCTGATGTCTGTAGATCCTGTTTCCTGGGGATGAGCTCAGCCTCTATTTATTCCACCAGTGATGGCCTCTGTCTCGTGTTCACAGCCTCAAAGCAGCTGATCCCA